CCATGTGTTGGCAATAATAAATGGAAACAATGTATGATCAAGAAGGATACACTAAAAAAAACTAACACCTGGAGCAAAGCAAATCTGGACCCGAGAACCACATAGGAAACTCGGTGGTCTGGCACCGAGGTGAAGAAAGGGCTGGGTTATATGCTTGGATGATTGGATAATACAGTCCAGGTGTCTGTCAGTAATGAGAGCCCTAAAACCTGAATACACAGAGACCGCAGGATCAAACATTTAACTTTTGATTCAGTTTGATGCTACTACCAAAAACCTGTGTTTAAATGTACATATAGCCTTATAGAATGATACACATTCCATTACTGAACCAAGGATCTAAGGGATGTGTAGTTATGTATTCACTAAACAGTAGGTTCATTCATGCAAACACAGAAATGCAGTTGCTGTATAAAATAATGGGATACTATAATGGGGGTGGGCAGAGGGGTGGGATATGATTAGTTTTCCTATTGATAACTATAAAAGGGCCAGGATTGAGTTTTCAGCCATTTCCTAGTCTGAAAACAGCTCGTTAGAGATGTTGACAATCTTAGGGCTGCGCAGATAAAAAAAAAAAATTAAATGCATTATTTAAAGGATTTCTAAAAATTAAATGTTGCCTACAGGGGCCATTGTTCATTGAATACACATGAGAAGAGTGTATATGCATATATGAGATTCTTAAAAGGACAGTATAGTCACCAGAACAGCTACAGCTTATTGTATTTGTTCTGGTGAGTATAATTGGTCCCTTCAGGATTTTTGCAGTAAAAACTGTCTTTTCAAAGAAAAGGCAGTGTTTACATTGCTGTCTAGGGACACCTCCACTGGCCACTCCTCAGATGGATACTAGAGGTGCTTCCTGGGGCAGTGCTGCACAGTGTGTAGCACTGACATTCAGTGTCTTCACACTTTTGTATCAGGAGATGCTGATTGGACAGGGCTGTGTTTGACTTGTGCTGACTCATAGAATGTGATGGCTGATAAGAACCATTCGGCCCATCTAGTCTGCCCAAACTATGAATTCCAAGCTTTTCTCACTTGAGTGAATAATTCAGGTTGTATAATAATAGCCAATACTGCCTACAAGATAAGGAAACCGGGCTAAGAACTCAAAATGAATAATCACCACAAGCTGAGTAGTGGACACTATGAGATGGGACGAATGTGGAGTACGCATTTTGAAAACATTTCATTTAATTGAAAATAAATCACACAAAGATAAATAGCTGGTCACTTTTTGAAAATTCTCTCATCACGTCTGATGTGAATACTGCTTAATTCTATTATTTGTTTCCCAAAATGCATTTTACAGACATCCTAACTTGCAAACATTAATTTCAGGGAGGTAGCTTCACCAGATACTATGCCACTCCTCCTCCCCCCACTGCATGCCACCCTGCGTGCCCCACCCACCACAGCCACCAAACACGTACGAACACCTTGACACACTGTAGCGTTACTTACCTTATCCATGGGCCGGCCGCGGTCCTCTCTTCGAGCCGTGCGCGGTCCTGCTACTGCACGAGCCGCGTGCGGCTCATCCGACGGCTTCAATAGGAAGGCGGGCAGTGACCGCGAGAAGCGGTCACGTGTCCCGCCTGAATCTAAGAGCGCGCCGCGAGTCTCGGGCGCGCTCTTAAAGAGACAGTGGGAGCCTAAATTGTCAAAAGGCTCCCATTGGCCCCTGGCATGCCACACTCCCACACTCCCCATACACTTACCTTTTGGGGGTGTGGATATGACAGGAGCCAATCACATTAGTTTAGAAGCTATTTAAACTTACCTCTCCCTTTACTCCCTGCCCTATCATGGTTTCTGTTTCAGTTCCCTTTAGCGCTTGTTGTGTTCAGTTGTGTTTTCTTCATATTGACTTTGGCTTTGTTTCTGACTACGTTTTCTCTTTATCCTTATCTGTTCTGGTTGCCGGCTTGCTGTTTACTGTGTACCAGACCCCGGCTAGTCTTAGTTTACACTATCTCTCTGTGCCCTTGACTTCGGATCGTTCCTGACTCTGTCTTCTCTCATATACGTCGAGTCCGGCCATTCTAAGGTCCGGTAGACGTATCTCTCCTCTGTGTTGTCTTCTGTTTAGCTGAATCCTGCGTGTTGGGGTATATTCGCGTTACACACACACATACACGCACTATTACATACGCACAATCAAATACACACTGACACATAGATACACACATTAAAACACACACACTGGCGCATGCACTCAGATACACACTGACACATACACTCAGATACACACACTGGCACAAAGATACACACACTGGCACATACCACCAGATACACACTGACAAATACACAGATACATATACAGACACTAGCACATACACTCAGATACACATGCTGGCACATACACTCAGACACAAACTGGGACGGACACAAACACACACTGATACACACTGGCACATACACATACAGATAAACTAAAAACTGATTCACACTGGCATATACATGCACACACACAGATACACACAAACACTGATACACACACACACACAGATACACACAAACACTGATAAATACACTAAGATAAACCCACTGGCACGTACATTTAGATGCACACTGACACACAGTTACACACTGACACATACACACACTGACACATACTACTGGAATACACATAATTTGACAGATGTCGTACTTTATATATTTACGGCCACCCTCCTGTTTGTTTACCTTTGTGTCCAGGAGGGTGGCTTGACTGGGGTGCAGGCCCTGGCTGATGGGAGATAGCATGCAGTAGCAGCTCACTCCAGCCTCTCCTCTGCCTCCATGCTGTGTGCTCTAGCCCCCCCTCTCTCCATTCCGGTGTGCCTCTGTTGCCTGCTGCCTCCTCTGTCCATTCCTCCTGGGTGGCGGCTCCCTGTGAAGCAGGGAGGAAGTAAAGCAACTTCCTTACTGCCAGCTGATATCACAGGGGCCCAGTCAGCTCTTAAAGGGCTGGCACCCGACCGGGACCCTGTTTAGCAATAATTATGAGTGGGGGGAGAGGGGGCGCAAATCATATGAAATAAAATGGAAATCACACACATCAGATTGTGTGTGTGATTTCCGGGATATGAAATATTATTTGCAGGTGTCAGGGAGACGTATCCAAAATGCGGGAGTCTCCCGGAACTACCGGGAGACTTGGGATGTTTGATTTAAGGAGCCCTGTATGTAACATGTAGTCACACTCCTTTGGGTCATGCCCCTGGTTATTTGTCTAAGAGCCCTGGAGCAGATTAATGGTTTTATAATTATTAAAATCTCAACTTCACCTTACCCAGATGTGAGTTGCTTAATTGTGACACTGGCTATGCTGCAGTGACCAAGGAGATTAATTTTCCAGAAGTAATGGAATCGTGTGGGCTTAAGGTTACACGATTTACAGCTGGATTTAGGTCATCCATAAAATATGTCACGTACAGCAGCAATGTAATCCTCTTCATTATATTAGGGCCACTTGGATAGGTCGATTCTATGAAAAACAAGCCTTTTCCTTCTAGTAATAATGGAAATACAATTTTGATTATTTTTAACAAAATAAAAATTCTGTGCTATAAATGAACCAATTTAAAGGGACATTCTACGCACCATAACCACTGCAGTGGTTATGATGACTGGAGTCCCCTGGTGCCGTAGCATGGTAAGGAATCAAACCATTTTTTAATGATATAACACTTGCTTGGGTTCACATTAGTTCTTTATTCATTGATAAAAACACTCTTATCCAATGAATGATGTTTAAAGAAGGACAAAATTGATATTGGTAAAGCAGTATGTGAGCTTCTGCTTTGGCAACTGGGACAGTACCTTGGAATGACCACGGACGTCACTAGAATGCAGGTAAAATGTCAAACGCTTCAGCAACAATTTGACTTCTTACCATGGGATGAAGGCAGACGCATTGATTCCTGTTACTTAAAACATTACAGCAGCAGTTATGGTGCTTAGTAGAATTATAAGTTGGACTCATGCGTGCTGTAGATCATGCATGACAATGTGTCTCTATACACTGCTCATAAATGGTAGATCCCCCCAGCTGGCATTGCATTGTGGGAGTTGTACGACAGATGAGGATCTACCTTTTTTCACTCTTGTGGCAGGCCCAAAATATTTCTTGCACCAGGGCCCTTTCTATATTAATTTGCAAGTGCAACTGGGACTACTACTACCACCTTCCCTTTCTGCATCCTTTCTAGCTCCTCTTTCAGTCCTAATTTTCTCCACTTTCTCATGTTCCTTCTATGTGATGTTATAGTCACTGGGTATTGCCACATTCACCAAAACTGCAGTCTTCCATTCCTTGTCTACTAGACTGTTATTCTACTACATTGGTGTTACTATAATATATTAAAGGGAAACTATAGTCACCAGAACAATTACAGCTTAATGTAGTTGTTCTGGTGACTACTGGCTGTCTCTGCAGGAATTTTCATGTAAAGGCAGTATTTACATTTCTCCCCAGAGACACGTCCAGTGGCAGTCACTAAGACAGCCACTAGAGGTGCTTCCTACATTCAGAGTCTCCACACTCTGCATGGAGACACTGAACTTTCCTCACACAGATTCATTGATTCAAGGCACATTTTTGAGGAGATGCTGATTGGCCAGTGTGGCGTTTTTGGCTCAGCACCTGCCTTGCCTCCTTGGCTGAGATCAGAATTGACAATCTCAGCTAATCCAGTGCTTTCCTATGGGAGACCTGTATGGCCCTGGAACAAAGGTGAGTTTTTATCCTATTTAAGGGTGCAAAATGTTTTCAGCTCAACTATCCCAACTTTAAAGGGACACTGTAACCACTATAACCATTTCAACTAATTTAAACTAAATAAGTGTACCTGGTCACCCACAGCCAGGCCCCCCACTGGAGGTATTGCTAAGACAGAGATTACAAACTTCCCTATGGCCATACCAATTCATACTTGTAGTGGGTGCCTGTGATTGGCTGTATGCAGTCAGCTGACACTCTCAGCCAATCACAGACACCCATTGCTGCTCAGGCTAATGCTGGGACATTAAAAATGCTTTAACGCTGAATGGAACTAAGATGTCAGGGGACTCCATATACTATAACCACTTCAACGAGATGATACAGTTTACAGTACCTAGTGTCCCTAAAAAAATTGCATTTCTCCAATGAAAAACTCTGCGAGGCAAGTACTCAGTTTACTCGGTTACCTTTAAAAAATGTGCAATAACAAGTAAGACTGTGATACGCATTCAAGCTTTATCCACGCTCCCACTCCTCCTGCTCTACTATATTCCCTCCTCTCCCTTTCCCCTCGCTTCAATTCCCCCCCATCTGTACGCTACACCTCCCCCAATGAACCACTCCTGATAGAAACACTGATTATTTTCTGCTGACTCTGCTACATGTCAGGCTGTAACCAGAGTAGGAAAGTTTCCAAGAAAAGGCTGCTCTGTGTTCCGATGACAGCTGGAGAGGTGATTTACAGTCGGGTCTCACCTTTAGGCAAAAAGCAAAGGAATACTGATTTTTTTTTAACTCTTTGCAGCCAGTCCAGCTGGAGAGCGCTGAACTATCCAGTGACTGTGTAATGTAAATGCTCAGGCGGTTTATCGGACCTTTTAGTAGTTTCTGTTCAGTCTCATGGATTTAGAATCCATTGTACAGATTTTTTATTTTTTTTTATCAGAGGTTCATCATAAACCTCATAAATCCCTTGTACCCCCTCGCCAGCTGAATTATACTGACATGTTTAATGGGATACAAGGTCAATCTCACTGGAGAACATCATTTTTAACACTAGTGACATGTTTAATGGATTTAAGCATCTAAAAGCTTGGCTCACCCTTTGACACAAAAGGGACGACAAAGTAAGAAAAATGAGTGTTATAATCAGCCAGCGTTATAAGTGGTTATAGTATAAAAAAACTTTGAAAATACAATAAGATTCCATTAAACTCGTTCCATCTGGAGACCTGTGACATGGTCTCTAGAAATCCCAGAGTTTGTTCCTTCTGCATTTAACCTTGGCTTTTTATTTACTATTCTGGCTTCTGTGTTCTGCAACCTTTGGCTTGTCTTTACGTCCTGTTGCTTTTCTGTATCCCTTTACCTCGGCTTGTATTCTGACTATTCTCGCTTTTGTGATAACGTTAGGCCTGGCCACCTCTAAGGACCAATAATACATCTTGGCTTTTTTTCCCTTTTCTAGATTAGAGTGTGGGGATCCCAACCCATCCTGACATTATATTGCATTGAAAATCCAAGAGTTTATACAGACACCGTGCAGAGTCATAAGAGTTGGATCCTTAAAGGGACACTATAGTCACCTGAACAACTTTAGCTTAATGAAGCAGTTTTGGTGTATAGAACATGCCCCTGCAGCCTAACTGCTCAATCCTCTGCCATATAGGAGTTAAATCCCTTTGTTTATGAACCCTAGTCACACCTCCCCCTGCATGTGACTTGCACAGCCTTCCATAAACACTTCCTGTAAAGAGAGCCCTATTAGGCTTTCTTTATTGCAAGTTCTGTTTAATTAAGATTTTCTTATCCCCTGCTATGCTAATAGCTTGCTAGACCCTGCAAGAGCCTCCTGTATGTGATTTAAGTTCAATTTAGAGATTGAGATACAATTATTTAAGGTAAATTACATCTGTTTGAAAGTGAAACCAGTTTTTTTGATTGAACTGAAGCTGCCATACCAGCTCATTTAAATAGGGATACATTTCTCTATTTGTTCTTATCACACGTTGTGTTGCTAAACACCTGGTTATTATGGATTTATTTTGCCAATCAGCACAAATTACTTTTATTGAAGTTTTTTGGTATTACGAGCTTTGAACTAGTTTCTAATTATTAATATTATTTTATTATTTATATAGCGCCAGGAAATTCCGTAGCGCTATACAATGAGTGGACTAACATACACGTAATTGTAACCAGACAAATGGCCACACAGGAACAGAGGGGTTGAGAGTCCTGCTCAATGGGCTTACATGCTAGAGGGCTGCTTACCCCTTAACTAAGCATGACAAATCAATATAAAGGATTACGTTCTATTAAATGAATAGGAAAATAACTATTTCACTAAATGAATAGGAAAATAAACTAACGATCTGAGATTTCTAACATTTATATATCTAACTGGAACAGGGGCTAAATCCGCTCACAAGTGAAACAATTCCTTCACGCTGAGACTCACAGTGTTTGGTTTTTTAGGGTATTTAATTCAGGATATGGCATGCTAGCCAATTTAGTAAAAATCAAGGGTGTGCCTAGAAACAGATTCTTTTTTGTATTGAAATTTTTTTTCGTAAGCAATTGTTTTATTCTATAAGACAGTTTTATTGTAACAATGTGTACACGCATAGCTCCCCACATTATTAATAACCATTTATACAATTAAAATGTAATTTAGAACAAGAACAATGTTTCAGATTTACACAGGCTGATTTTATTAAAGACACGGAGGCTCATATTATGCATAACTCTTTCTTTATTTCCTCAGCAGCAAAGATAGAGGAATATAAATATTAACAAAATGAAAGAAAAAAAAAACTGTATAGGCACATAGGCAACCAATCTGATAATAGAGGAAGTGGCTATATAAGGCTTGTGTCTCCCACAATCCCCCTCTTCCTTTGCTGCTTCCTCAGACAGCTAAGTACCTTGCTTTTGTGCTCCTTATTCATTGTGTATTGTTTGATCTTTTATTGCAATTTGTTGTGATATTTTGTGATTTGTTTTGTGTTATTATTACTGCTGCCTGCTTCTGTAAAAAAAAAAACCCAGCAGTTTTTCTGTTTATCTCTACTACCCCTTGTGCTGGTGTATTTCTCCCTGGTTGCCCTCAACCTTTAATTCCCCCCCGCGCCCGCCCTGCTTGCCGGCGGGTGCCGCGCGGGACCTGGATCTAGCTTTCAGCCGTGGCTATTTCTAACACCTGTCGCGGCTGTCAGTGTCTCTCGGCTCGCTCGCGGGCTGCCCGCGCGGGTAGGTGCATGCGCCCCTTCCCCCGCCGGGTTGCAGTCCGCGAGCGCACTCTGCATGTGCGGCGCCCATCTTGGGGGCGGTCCTTCTCCGTGTAACGGTTGTTCCCTCTGCTGCCGTGCGCTCTGCTCTGCCTGGGGTACACCAGTACAAAGGTTTTTGTTCCCTATTCTCTCTTTTCTGTGGGTTAATCAACCCTTTGCTCTGTCACTTTGTCCTATAGCTTATCATACTGGGATTTTTCCTTGTACATTAAAGTTGTCACTATGCAGGATAGGGAGGAAGGGCCTGAGGGCCTCAACACTGATTTTAATTCAGACAATCCTGAGGGGGCTCATGCTTCCCAGGAATTTCAAGCCCTGCTAGATGCCACTATGGCTTCTTCCTTGCAAAAGGCTTTTGCTTCAGCCATGGGTGCTGTATCCTCCTCCTTTTCCCAATCCCTGCATTCCTTACTATTGCCTTCCATGGCGGCCCCCGCCCTCCTGGGCGTGGGAACCTCCTCACCTACCCCGACTGTGCCTGGAGCCCGTAAGGCTAAGGCGAAGTCAAAACATGTCGACTCCCACTCCTTGATGCAGGTTCTACCTGCCATGACTGACACGCTAGAGGCGGTCAATGACAGCGCGCCTCCCACGCGCAAAAGAGCCCCTGGCCGGGCTAAAAAGGCTAGATTATGGAAACGGGCTAAAGCCCTGGATGATGGGTCGGATACCGACCAGAGTGTGGAGAATGAGTCCGACGTTATGGAGTATGACTCCTTTGATGAGGGCGAGTCTGGTGAGGACTTACCCCTTACGGGTGTGACCCCTTCTGGGACCTCAGCCGCTGCCCATAGTCACGTACAAGGCCCCACAGGGGATACCAAGGCGCTGTTTGACCCTCAGGCCAACCCTCTATTTGACCCTGGCGATCTCCGTCACCCCGGGTCCGCAGAGTGGGTTCCCCCAGACCATATCGCTCAATACGTGTTACGACGTATGCGTACCCCCCTTTCCAAGGAGGGTCGCAATAAGTTGCGGGCCGAATGCCCCAGGCCCTCTCTACCGGGCTCGGCCTGCAAAACCCCTGATATTGATCCACAGATTGCTCAATTCCTGCACAAGTCAGGTTGGAAGCCCAAGAAGGGCTTGGACTATTCGCTCAAGGGGTGCCAGGACAAGATCTAGGATACCCTGGGCCCTCTATCCAAATTATACGAGCTCCTGGACGCCGCTAGAGCAGGCAATTCCGTGCTGGACGTTGACGTTGCCATAGGTTGGGTCCAGAGGGCTATCTGCCTATTGGGGAATGCCAATACTGCTATGTCCTCTGAGAGGCGTAAGGCGATCCTTCTTAAGATCGATCCCAAATTGGCTGCCATGACGGTGGCGGAACCAGGTCCGACCGATGAGGGGATGTTGTTCGGTACTTCCTTCGTAAAAGACCTGGGTTCGTACGTTAAGACCTTTACGGCCATAGACAAGGCGCAGGCAGACATGAAGCGCATGTTCGCGCCCAAGGTTTTCGGAGGGGCCGGGCGTAGCAGGAACCGTCCACCCGGCCGTGGATTTCAAGGCTCCTTCCGGGCCAACAGAGGTTCCTTCTTTCCATCCAGAGGTTTTCAGTACCCGCGGACCCCTCCCTTCTTTCCTGCCAGAGGGAGATCTTGCCCCTCTCCATCTGATCTTGGAGTTCCTCACGTTCCTCTTTGACTCGGGCAAGGCATACCGCACTATCAACCTTTGCCGCTCCGCTATCTCAGCGTGTCATAGTGGTTTGGATGGTTCCCCCGTTGGCAGACACCCTTTTGTATGTCGCCTCCTCAAAGGTATCCGCCTCGCCCGTCCTCCTAGGTCTCGTTTCTCTGCCTTCTGGGACGTCAATGTGATGCTGCAATTTCTCTCTGCATGGTACCCTAACCAGGAATTGACCCTCAAGCAATTGTCTTCCAAGCTGGTTATGTTACTCTGCTTGATCTCGTGTAAGAGGGTCTCCGATGTCAGGGCCCTTGACTGGGACGCCATTGTTTTCACCCCAGAGGGTGTTAGTTTCAACATATCCAGGAGGACAAAATCATCTTCTAAGTCGTTTGTGTATCCTAGATTCTCAGGGAGTCCTGCACTATGTCCGGTGGATTGCCTAAGGGCCTATCTGGAAGCTACGCAGTCTATACGCTCATCGGATTTGCATCCCTTGTTCGTTTCTTTTCGTGCACCTCACCGACCTGTTTCAACGCCAATGCTGGCACGTTGGGTACGATGGCTCCTGTCTATGGCGGGTATAAACACCTCATTCGGTTCGGGGAGCTATGGCTTCGAAAGCGTCTGCAGTTGGATGTCGTTTGGAGGACATTATGCGAGCAGTGGATTGGTCCCGTGAATCGACCTTCCGCAATTTCTATTTCAGACCAATTGAACACATCGCATCTCAGGTGATAGCACAGCTTTGAACTTGCATAATATGAGCCTCCGTGTCTTTAATAAAATTCCCAGATTTTACTAGTAACATGACGTAAAGTCATGATTTTATTAAAGACACGGAGGCGAGTATTATTCCCTCCCACCCTCCCGGTGTGGGGTCTGGGGATGAGATTCTCTTGGACTCTTCAGGTATGTTGCTATTTGCCCTGCTATTTATGGATGGCATTTTGATGATTGTACAATTTGTATATTAATTATACTTCTTGTTTTTTTTTTTTTACAGATATCAAAGTTTTTCCCACGATCTACTGACTGTTTTTGATTGGCAAGTCTACAGTTTGGAGTTTGGTTATTACCATATTTCTCTCTCTCTTTTTAGCTTGAAGTTACCATCTCGTTCGTGTTTCCTGTTCTGACCAAGTGGGATATCGTTCTTCTTACCTGGTCTTCGGTTTTCGCAAGAAAGAGGGGGATTGTGGGAGACACAGGCCTTATATAGCCACTTCCTCTATTATGTGATTGGTTGCCTATACAGTTTTTTTTTCTTTCATTTTGTTAATATTTATATTCCTCTATCTTTGCTGCTGAGGAAATAAAGAAAGAGTTATGCATAATACTCGCCTCCGTGTCTTTAATAAAATCATGACTTTACGTCATGTTACTAGTAAAATCTGGGAATTTCTAAACACATTTATTGTAGTTTAAAGACACCTTACTGCGAGTATTATGGCTGTGGAGCTCTATGATACACACAGACACACCAAAAATATGCAGCTCCTAGAAAAACGAGGGACATTAGTATAGAAAAAAAGGACAGAAGAATTTGGACCCAAAATAGGGACTGTCCATCCTAAATAGGGACAGTTGGGTGGTATGGTATATGGGATAGTCTGCTCTGCGTGGTACGTGAGTTCAGCTTGGTAAATCTGTTCAGGATTTTACTTGTGCCCAAGTTGATAGTGTGTTGATAGGTGAGCTCAGCCTAAGAATATTTAGCATCCTGAGCACACCTGCCACTACAAAAATACATACCTAAGCACGTACACTAAGAATGTTTTCTGTTCTCAGGCCGATAGGTGCTCACATTGCTTGTAGTATTTAAATTGGTAAATGTGCTCAGGATTGTAGATGGGCTCAGAATGTTTGGCATGCTCAATGTGGGAGATGTTTTTTGGGGTGATAGTTGTGATCGGACTGGGGTGTATGCTCAGAATACTTAAAGGGCTATTCCAACCCTTCTTAAGTAATGTTTTAATTTAGTGTAGAATTTCTTATTGGGCATTGCTCACTACCCTCACACCCCTAACATGCAGAAATACATAATAAAACTGACCTGCAATCCATCGTCGGGTGGGCAAGGCTCCAGGCACTCCTCTCCATGACCCATTCAACGTCACATGTCCCTCGCGCAGTCCACTCAAATGCTTTTCTAAAGGGGAAGGAGGGCGAGTGGTTAGGCATGGCTGGACTACTATTTGATAGAAAGAAAATTAAAAAAAGAAACCATCTTTACAACAGAGGGAGGCAGGGAGGGCTGAGAGGAACTGAAGAAGGGACGGCGAGCAGAGAAAACCTCCCCTTGCTCTGAAAATGTCTGTTGCCAGTGCGCACTGACGACAGACGTATTTAAAGCACAGAATTGACAATAGGTAGCCTGAGTCACGTGTGCCGGGGGTGCAACTAGCCTCCGGCACACAAATACCAATAACTCTGGATGTGCAGTGTTTCAAACAGAAAAACAGCACATCACCATGATCACGTCAAAAAGCAAACGTGGTCATTGTGGTTTTGAGTAACCCTTTAATGATCTTATGGTTGTAGGTGTTCTTAGGTGCACCACTGAATGGTATGTGTACTCAGGGTGGTAGGTGTGCTCATAATAAGTATATACAAGCTGGTCAGTGACCCATAACACTCTGCACAATGTTGTACCATGCAGACCTATACTATTGTAGTCTGCAACAAATATCTGAAATATACTCATTGAACTCAGCATCCTCAATCCTTTTTTCCTCCTTTATGGTTGTCAGAATGTAGCCATACAGCTTTACTTACAAAGGTAGATGTAGTCTGGAGGAAGGGGTACATATGTATTACTCTCTCTGAGGAGATGAAGAGGGGTATAACTGACAATAACAAAAACTAGAAAATATTCTCTGCACTGGGTTAAAGAAAAGAGTAAGTATGCCCTTTTCTACTAAATTTAGTTCTGAATTGTTCAATGGAGATACAGACCATGTAAATACATGTACACAAGGCTGTGAATTTGGCTCCTACACAGACAGCACTGAAGGAGCTTTTTCAAAGATATGTGGACTTTCATGGTGTGCCCTCGCCCAGTGTGCACAATGTCAAACAGGTACCTGGACGGCCAATGTAAAATCATAAGCAATGAGTGAGGGAGTGGGTATTTAGCTTTGAGTTTTTTGTATATTTCTACATTTGACTTTCAATCAAAGTATGGAGGCTTCTAATTTGAAAGCTTTGGTTTGGGTAAGGATTTTGGATTAGTACCAGTAAATTAAAAGTTAGGATTAGTGAGTCTAGTAAGTTAAAAGTTAGGATTAGTGATTTTAGTGTAGGGGTTTCGTGTTTTAAGGTTATGGTCAGTGATATTATGAGGATTTTAATGTTTAAGGGATTTATGGGTAGAGGATTAATTAATTTAGGGTTACTTAAATTAGGGTTACGGTATTAGAATTAGACTTACACTCCACCTGAAGATTGGTTTCTATGTCCAGAACCCTATTTATGTTACTGAGAATTACTGGTTTTAATCTGGTAGTTATGCGTCTCAATCTGTATATTTGATAAAAACAACGTTCTTTAAATTCTGGTACTCATTTCCTCTAACATGCGCCCAGATTTAGCACCACTTAGTAAATAAGTTCAAAACGTATGGCAGCTCCTGGGTTCTTAGGTCCCCATTCCCAGTTACTTCTTGTTTTGAAAATCTTTTGGGGTTTACATAAGGTTGAGGCAGAGTTAAACAATGCAGGCCGTCCATGCTCAGCCTGAGTCAATACACTACTTGCTGAAATAAATAAACACACAGACTGGAGCCCAGACAATGGGGCTCATGGTGAATTAGTAAACTCTGCTTCTCGCGTTCAGTCAAGCGAGACAGAAACTGGCAGTAGTCCCTGGATTTACACCACAAGCAATTATTAGTAGACTGAGCCAAGAGCTTTTGGCATTTGGGGAAAACAGCTGGAAGAGAGGTGACCGAGCCAGTGCCTAATTCAATGCACGAGCCAGTGAAACCTTCAAAACTGTATACAAAAATCTCTTTTCAACATGTTCTTGATACAGAGAATAAGTTAGATTCAATACAATAAATATAACATTTATAGCACTGACCAATACTATGCTGGAATTTGGAGCCCGTAAGAAAGTAGTTTTATATTATATAATGTCACACATCCAACGATAGTGGTCATAACATCCAGGGGGCATATAATAATCATTATATAGAGCATTGTGCCGGAAGTTACATACATGTAAAGCATTGACAATCCTCAATAGTGTTACTAAATGAAATGTTTATTAAACCTTAATATGACCCAGTTACTCTTAGCCCCGGACCATTAAATGAAGTTTTTATATATCAGAGCTTGACAAATTTGCTTGGAATCTAGGAGCCAGCTAAAAAGGTTAGGAGCCAGGTTTTTCCAATGCCAAAAATACAATTCTCAAAGGGACACTGTAGTCATCAGTACCACTACAGCTTAATGTAGTTCTTCTGGTGTCTATAGCCTGTTTCTGCACCCTTTTCAATGTTTACACTGCCTTTTCATTATTTTGACTCAAGGGTATCCTATAATAAATGACCCGGGTGGCTCTCTAATTAGGTGGCTGCCTAAGGCCTCGTGGCCTCCACACCATCTGCCCAGCGGGAGAGACAGTACAGCACCTACGGTCTACAGATTTGCGGATCATGTAGTATTTGTTTGCCTCATGGTTTGCAACTCTGCACCTTGAGCAGCTGCACATCGGAGAGCTAGCCACTGGACCACCAGAGAGACAACTGGACCACCAGGGAATAGATTGCTGCTGCTGCTGCTGCAAAAAAGAAGGTATTAAAGTGTGGGGAGGCAGGTCACTGAAACACAGCCTTCACTCACACTCACCCTGTTCAACCATGCCACAACCACCTACCCTTGCTCTGCCACACTCACTCTATGACCTTAATCCCTCCTGTCCTGTCACACTAACATTGTTACATTAACCCTCCCTACTCCTGTCACACTCACCTCACTCTGTCACACTCCCTCCTCCAACCATGCCACACTCACCCTATCCCATTAACGCCTCTCCTGTCAAACACCCAATCCGGTCACACTCACCCCTCTTGCTTTGCCTCACTCTCATCCTCAAATGATACCACACTCACTCACATTAACCACTACAAGTCTGACACTTATTATCCCCAACCATACCACCTTGTTACATTAACCCCCCTTAATTCTGACATACTCACCTCCCCTCACCCTGTCACACTCCCTCTTCAAACAGTGCCACACTCACACCCAGCCCTGCCACACTCACCCTGTCAAGCAACCCCATTAATTATATCACACTCACACCCCCAACCATGCCACACTCACTTTGTTACACTAACCCTCATTTCTTGTCACACTCACCACTGTTCTCAGTGTCACCTCTACAAACAGTGCCACACTCATCCACAACACTGTCACACTCACACTCACCCCACAACCCTGACACACTCACACTGTCACTTTAACCCCTGTAATATTGTTACATTCACCCCTAATCCAATCACACTCAACTTCCCTCACTCTATCACACTTACACTCCCCAAACAGTTACCCCCCTGAAGACAGTCATCATGCACACACAGCTTCTTCATAAACAGAACGCACAAAGACAACAAGCAGCCACCAACAAACACAACATACAACAAGCAGCTCACAGGGACACAGGGTTGCTCAGAGAAACACACATTCACACACAAGGACACCCACTGTCAGATACACATTGTGACTGTATGTCTGTATTTGTCAATGTGTGTCAAACGTAATTCATAGTTTCCAACATTTGAAAATAAAATTCTGGGATACTTTGCAGCACAGCTATCAATTACTAACTTGAACATTTACCACACCCACTGCCACAAAGCCCCGTCCCGTCTGGCCAACAGGGTCTACTCAATAAAGAGAATTACAGGGAATTAAGACGGTAATTTTAAACTTAAGGCCAAAGTAGCAGAGTTGGAAAAATTCTCCCATTCAGCTGCACTATTTCGACCTAAAGTTTAAAATTCCCATCTCAATTCCCTGCAGTTCTCTCTTTATTGAGTAGACCAACAGTACCATGCATCATTGGTGTGCAATAGATACATTCGCAGCACAGCATCAATATCAGGCAGGTACATTTTTATCCCTTTTAGGTGAGTTGGGTATCAGTGGTGACACTGTCCGTACAAGTACAAATATAGAAAGACCTTGTGCAGATGTGCTTCCGTCAGAGAGTTATGTCTATACAATAGAACATCAGGGCTGGCCTTAGGGGTGTGCAAGCTGTGAGGCCGCACAGGGCGCCATGCCAACAGGGGCGCCGGGCAACCGACATAGGTCACACAACCAGGTCCTGCCCTACCTCAGAGCGCCCTGGTGGATGAAAGATTGCGCCCCGGCTGACCGCTTTGATTATGCACTCCTCTCGCGAGCTCAGCATTCGGAGTGTTGCCGCTGTGTTACCACGGCAACGCTCTCATACTATCAACGCAGAGCTCGCGAGAGGAGGGCTCCTGTTCTCCAAGGTGCAGAAATTCAAGATCTGGCAAAGACCGCTGGACCACCAGGTATCAGTATTCCCCCATCCCTGCCCAAAGGTATGCAAGAGGGAGGGGGGCCAAAGGGGGGGAACCAACATGAATTAATTTAAGAAAACAAAACTGCTCTCCCACCTCCTTATTTAAAGCCTAATGTCCCTCCCTCCTACCCACAAATCATCACTTTCCCACCCTTACTGTGTTACCTACACACACACACTACATAATCTACTCACACCCACACACACACACACTACATAATCTACTCACACACAACATCCCCTATAAACACACTGTTCTCTAAACACATACACACTAGATAACTCACAAACACTACAAAACGTACAGACACACTATGCTCCCTATACATACACACTACGTAACTTACAGCCACACACACTACATTGCCTATACACACACACACTATGTTCCCTAAACCAGAGCTTGACAAATTTTTTGCAATCTAGGAGCCAGCTAAACAAGTTAGGAGCCAGTCATTTTCAACGAGAAAATGCAATTCTTAAAGGGACACTATAGTCACCAGAACCACTACAGCTTAATGTAGTTGTTCTGGTGTCTTTAGCCTGTCCCTGCAGGCATTTTAGTGTAAACACTGCCAGTAAAAAGGCAGAATTTACATTGCTGCTTAGTAACACCTCTAGTAACAGTCACTCAGACGGTCACTAGAGAGCAGCACCCACGTTCAGTATCTCCAAGCTCTGCATGGAGGTGCTGAATGTTCCTCGTAGAGATTCATTAATTTAATGCATCTATATGAGGAGATGCGGATTGGTACATTTGCTGCCCATGCACAAAATCCTACCAATGCTTTCCTAAGGGAAAGCATTGGCTTAGCTGAGATCATAAAGATTGATCATCTCATCCATGGGGAAACTGGCACGGCGTGAGAAACTGGGGGGAAAAAGGTGAGTAAAAACAATCGAAGGGGGCAGGTACCTAAACGCACACACACTCACGCTGACAACAAGCTTGCATGCACAAACTCTTGACAGACACACACACACACACACACTCTTGACAGGCGTGCACGCGCACACCAACACACTCTTGACGTGCGTGCACACACACAGTCTCTTGACAGGCTCACACACAGTCTTACGCTGACAACAGGCTTGCACGCACACACTCTGAGAGGCGTTCACACACACGCACATATAGGCGTTCACACACACGCACACACTCTGACATGCTTGCACAAACATACAGGCGCACACATACATACAGACACTGACAGGTTCTCACACACATACTCTGACAGGCTTACACACACAATGACAGGTTCTCACACACACACTCTGACAGGCTTACACACACTGACAGGTTCTCACATACACACACACACACACACACTCTGACAGGCTTTCTCTCACACACACACACTCTGACAGGCTTTCTCTCACACACACACACTCTGACAGGCTCTCTCTCTCACACACATACACACACACACACTCTGACAGGCTCTCTCTCTCTCACACACACTCTGACAGGCTCTCTCTCTCTCACACACACTCTGACAGGCTTTCTCTCTCTCACACACACTCTGACAGGCTTTCTCTCTCTCACACACACTCTGACAGGCGACAGGCTCTCTCTCACACACACACACACACACACACACTCTGACAGGCCTCTCTCTCTCACACACACCTCCAGGCTCTACCCTCTCCACACACACAAACACCTGACAGGCTCTCTCTCTCACACACACACACCTGACAGGCTCTCCTCACACACACACTCTGACAGGCTCTCTCTCACACACACACACACACACACCTGACAGGCTCTCTCTCTCACACACACCTGGACAGGCTCTCTCACACACACAAACACCTGGACAGGCTCTCTCTCACACACACTCTGACAGGCCTCTCACACACACACACTCTGACAGGTTTCTCTCACACACACACACTCTGACAGGCGCCTTCTCACACACACACTCTGACAGCTTCTCCTCTCACACACACACACACACACACACACACTCTGACAGGCTCCTCCTCTCACTCTGACAGGCTCTCTCTCTCTCTCACACACACACTCTGGCAGGCTCTCTCTCACACACACACACACACACTGACAGGCTCTCTCTCTCTCACACACACTCTGACAGGCTCTATCTCTCTCACACACACACAAACACTCTGACAGGCTCTCTCTCTCTCACACACACACACACACTCTGATAGGCTCTCTCACACTCACACACACACACACACACTCTGACTGGCTCGCTCTCTCACACACACATTTTTGTTTTAATTGAAACCCACTCAGCCTCCCTGCCTTTGGAAGAGCTGAGAGGGTCTTTCCTGGGGTCCAGTGGGGCTGCACTCTTCCTGTGTGCAAGGGAGGAGTACTCTGCCTGTAGCTCCTCTCTGCTCCAGAGAGTAGCTGCAGGCAGAGTACTGCTCCCTCACGCGCCGGCCACAATGCTCCCGCTGGCGACCGCCTCCTCTATGCTGCTCAGGGCGGTCGCCCGCCTCCATGCTCCCGCGGGCGGCCGCCCACCTCCAAACTCCTCAGGGCAGCAGCATCCCAAGTGCCAGGGCAACATTTTTAGTCGCCATGGCGACCTAGCGCCTGGGATTTGTCGAGCCCTGCCCTAAACACATACACACTACATCCCCTATACACACACTGTTTCCTACACACATACACACTACACCCCCTTTACACACACACACATTACATAACCTACACACTACATCCCCTACACACACACACTACATCCCTATCCCACACCACACTGTTTTCCCTACACACACTGCATACCTATTCCACACACAACTTAATGGCATGGCAACTTCAGGGAGACACTCTTGTTAGAAATACTTTTTGACTCCTATTGCTAGAGTGTTCCTTCACATAGGTTTGTTTTTCCCAAATCTATACATGTGGGAGGAGTTCTTCTAGCCCATATATATATCTAGAATTTTCTGCTCTTTAAAAAGATCAGAAATTGTGTGTACCATAATACACACAGAGACAGATGGCTGAGTACACACAGACAGACTGCTGAATACATACACGCACTGCTGAATACACACACAGAGACCGCTGAATACACCCAGACAGCTGAACACACACTGCAGTGAGGGGTGCAGTGTATGTGTTTGTGTGTAGGGGTGCTGTGTGTGTGTGTGGTGTGCATGGTGCAGTGTGTGTGTGTGTGTGAGGGGTGCTGTGTGTGTGTGTGAGGGGTGCTGAGTGTGTGAGGGGTGCTGAGTATGTGATGGGTGTTGGGTATGTGTATTAGAGGTACTATATGACTGTGTCTGAGAGGTGCTGTGTACGTGTGAGGCGTGCTGTGTGTGTGAGTGGCGCTTTGTGTCAGGGGTGCTGAGTGTGTGTGTGAGGGGTGCTGAGTGTGTATGAGGGGTGCTGTGTATGTGTGTCAGAGGTACTGTGTGTGTCAGGGGTGCTGTGTGTTTGTGTAATGGGGTGCTGTGTGTGTGCATAAAGGGCGCTTTGTGTCAGGGGTGCTGTGTGTGAGAGAGGTGCTGTGTGTGTGTGAGGGGTGCAGTGTGTGACAGGTGCTGTGTGTGTGAGGGATGCTGTGTTTGTGTGTGTGAGGGGCTGTGTATGTGTGTCAGAGGTGCTGTGTGTGTGTGTGTGTGTGTGTGAAGGGTGCTCTGTCTCTGTGTATGGCACCTGTGCACGTGTGAGGGGTGCTTTGTGTGTGTAAGGGGTGCTTGTGTCCTGGTTAAAAATTTTATTTTATTTTTAAATCAATGGGCCTATTCCATGGGCACGGGCATGGGCCTGGAGCTGCAGCTCCATCAGCCCCTATGTTAATCTGGCCCTGTGTGTACACAACTGCCGGGTTATACAACCACATCCAGCAATTGTATAATGATTACCATAACGGCAAATTAAATGTGTTTTTTGCAAATTTTGTTTGCAATTATGCCATAACTACAGTCAGAGAGCTCACAACACAGAGGCACATGGAGCAACGACACTGCAAGCCTCTGAACGATGAATATAGAGACTATCTCTGTATCCAGCACTGCAAGCCCGCCCTCAATTTAACAACAGCTCCTTCTACACACACAATGCAAGCTTGATTTTTATTTTCCACTGTGGGTGTTAATGGAGGGCTCAGGATTGAGTTTTGCCTGGCTAAGTCTTGATCCACCACTGATAAATGAATGCCATGTGGTGGCATCCAGCATCAAAATGTGGCAAAGTTCATTGTCAAAATTGACGACAAAATGATCCGCAGTGGAGCGGACAGCGCATGAATGAGCGGATACCATTACACAAGGTTACCATTACACTTTCAAGGATCTTTGCAAAGTATGCAATGATCTTCAAAGGTGACGAAGCAGCTTTAAAATCCTGGAAAGCGATCATTTTGATTTGAGTCTCAGTAACTTAGTACAGTAACTGTCAACTAATGACGCTTGGTCCTCATTGGTCCTTATTGATGTCTGTGTAAGTGCCAATATTGTTTACAAACAATGTATAGTAATCTCTACTTTGCCTGTCAGCACTGCATGCACTTTTGCTTATTCAGGGCAATTATCATTTTTTTACATCTGTCACAACAGACTGATCAGGCAAGTTCAGTAGCGTTTCTGTGTTACTATCTCTCAGGCCTGAGTTTTGTTCTAAGATGCATGATTCAAGAGTCCAGCATGACTTGCATCAATCTTTAAGCTCCACGAGCAACTAGTCTTGTCTGAAACCCTGAGCTCAGTTACACAACAACAGAAGGCGCGTGTTTGTGTTCTTCCGTACATCTTCACTACTGTTGCTATTATGATTTTCCTTTCAGACGTAAACAAGGTCAAGTGAAACCACAAAAGTTGAATGTTAGGACTGCCACGTCACCAATGTAAGGCGTGGACACGTGACTGTGGATTATACAAACAGAGACAGTGTTGTTGACTTTTCCAGTTATACAATGATATTTCGGCTCCAAAAGGAGAACTTGATGCTGCCCGATTACCTACTAATTTACAGTGCGCAGAGCACAATATAGAATACAAAAAATATATTTATGTTTTCTGTTGTTTTCCTTTACATTCCTCCCTCAAACCACATATATAAAAATACATATTGCTCAAACGTTGGAAAGTAGGACCAGACAAGTTTCACAATCTCACATTGTAAATTCATATCACTGTGTCTGTGTGCAGGTCTGAGCATGATGAGATTTGTGTACTATCGATCAGCCGGTGAACTAGAGACATGACATTAGAACTGTACATAGTGTGTCTGTCGCCTTGAGGCGGCTGGGATTTTATGTTGGTATCCTCCCTAAAGAATTGTAAAAATATTTGTGTTGCTCCCCCCAGGTTTTATCTCTGCACCCCTCCCCCTCTTGTGTGTACCACCTGCCCTACCACACCTCCATAACCCCTAACTTCTTTGTATACATATCCGGTCTCTTCTTACACCCTCACACTTTGCGTGTCTGTCCTGAGCCCTTGTGTCTCTCAGGGGCTGAATTTAGAAATCAGGTGTCTGTAGGCACAAAATTCTAAGGTGCACCCCTGCACCCCCAAATAAGACAGATAAGGTAAGGGTAATGAATTTATTAAATGAACATTGCGTGCCTAAGAACATATACAAACATGGTGGACAAATATGTATTTATGAATGTGCCTATTTCTAATTCTAATGTAATTATGTTTGAATCTGTGAGGATAGTGAGTGCATGCAGCTATGTAAATACATACAGGGTTGAAGATAATATTAGAAGTGATTAGGGTAATTTAATTTTGGGCTAGAGTTGGGTTAAATGTGGTATTGGGATACATGAGGTGTTTAGTTAAACATAGGATAAGGGTAAATGGCTTATTCCAGGTTTAAGCTTTGAGAGCTAGGGGTTGAAGGGTTATTTACAAAGTACTCACCCTCCTGTGTTTTATGTAGTCCAGTCAGATTGATAATATCAGAGCTGCAGGAGAGGTTATACAGTGTTTATCACTGAGAGCTATCTCTGCTCCTACTGCAAGGCACTTCCTGTGTGAGAGGCTGCTAGTGGGCAGATGGGAAGTGATCCCTTCCACTTCCTGTCCAGCCTCACACATGGAGGAGCTGGGCCAGTGCTGAGTGTTAAACAGGCTATAACTGTCCCTGCAGGTCTGCTATGACAGATAGGAGGCTGGCTGGACTACAGTGGACACTGGCCAAGGCTCCTGGTGTTATAGCTCCTATAGTCACAAGAACAACTACAGCTTATTGAATTTGTTCTGGAGAGTAGAATCATTACCGTCAGCCTTTTTGCTGTAAACACTGTCTTTTCAGAGAAAATGCAGTGTTTACATTACAGCCTGGTGATAACTTCACTGGCCACTCCTCAGATGGCTGTTAGAGATCCTTCCTGGGTCATGGCTGCCTAAAATGCATCCAAACATTCAGTATCTCCTCCCTCTGCATGCAGACACTGAACTTTTCATATAGAGATTTTGTTGATTCAATTCATCTCTATGAGGAGATGCTGATTGGCCAGGGCTGTGTTTGAATCATGCTGGTTCTGCCCTGATCTGCCTCCTTGTCAGTCTTAGCCAATCCTATGGGGAAGCATTGTGATTGGATCAGGTTGATGATGTCAGCAAACTGCTTGTTTTTCTGAGTCTAACAGCATGCAGAGTTACAGCTTCAGGCTTGAAAATAGTAACTTTTTTACTATATTTATGGAGGCATGAGGGACCCAGAGGGGCTAGATGGTTGTTTTAACCCTATAGGGTCAGGAATACATGTTTGTGTTCCTGACCCTATAGTGATCCTTTAAGTCTCCCATCAAAACAAATGCATACTCTTCTTAATGGTTAATCTGGCCATGTCTGTCACCTGTCTAGACTGTTGCATGGTCAATTCACAATCCAGATCATCTGACCTGACTATTGCAGACTACTCACAGTTCAGATCCTCTGCCCAGCCTATCAGTGTAACCTGAATGCAGTTAGCAATGTTAAGCGAAGACGAACAGAGTGTACATTGTGTACACTGACAGATATGGCATAGGATTGTGAACAGCTCAGTCACGCTACAATATGGACAATGCAGAGACGGTATTGTGGTGCTGAGTGCACCCCTTTCGGGATATCATCTGGCATGACTGACACCACTGCCCCCGTATTCTACTGGATAACACGATGCCAACTTGTTTATTACTTAGGTTTACTCACTAAATTACTGAGCTGAAGATATAGCGAAGTTGGTATTATTCCACTTTAGTTATTTAGGCCCAAAACAATTGCAGTCCCCTATCCTATTCTCATCTGTGCTCTATTTACTGTAAAATCCCTTACTATGTATAACAACTCCACATTCTCTAGTCACAGGCAAAAAGACACAGAAACTAGCTTTTATTTATAATATTTTTTATTTATTTTTTAAAAACCATTAACAGTGTCAAATATCAAAAAGAGAACATATGAATAAACATCACATTTCAGATACAGAATGCATCGCATCCCAAGCAGTGGAAGTCCCAATAGCACACAGAATTAACCATTTCAACATGGAGTTTATGAAATACCAGCTTGCATGTGTGACACTTCCATACACAAACACAAAGTGGACACAAATGCAATAATTATACAATATAAAGAAATCTGCAAAACTCTTCTAAATTTAACTATAATGTGCCCTTTGATGCTTAATTATCAAGAATCACCAGGTTGCTTGTATTTTTTTGTTACATAATAACTCTTAACCCCTTAAGGACACATGATGGAAATATTCCGGCATGATTCCCTTTTATTTCAGAAGTTGTGTCCTTAAGGGGTTAATGGACAAATCTATTGTTTGCCTAAATCCAATCCTATTAACCCTTACACTGCATGGAGGGTTATACAACATTGTATCCCTAGCACTAGAGTATAACTTTAACACTATATGCCAACATAGCCTGTACTACATTGACAACTCAGTGTGTTGAAGTGGTTAAGGTGCTTCTATTGTCTATTTATATATACAGGGCAATTCATTCTGGAATAGGATCCTTTAAGACGAGATTGTTATGACAGCAAAGGTCATTGGTCCTTCCAGGTTTAATACATTTTTCAATTGTTGCTGGATGAAATGGTTAATATATTTGCTACATTGTCACTGGGTCTCCAATTATGATAGAAAGGGTATGTGTACATATAAAGACTATCCATGGATTAGGACACAATGCTATCTGCTTATAAAACAGAAATAACACACTTTTTATGGTACACAAAACTTACAACTTAAGGTCTAATGTCAGAAAATAGAGACTGATTCTCTTTAACAAATTTCCAATCAGCTTTATAATGATTAAAAGGAAATCTATCATTAAACATTCAGTAAAACCAAATCCACTTCCATAGGTATACTGACAGAATGTTAAGGCCTACCCACATAGAATTCTGAAAGTCCATCTTTTCATATTAACGACAATTCTGACCAATCTAGAACATGTGATGAGTAGAGAGCATGTGGTAGTGGTGTTGACTTGCGTTCAGTAACAGGCCCTTGGTATGAGCTTGATTGCCTGATATACCCCATCTACTTTGCAGACAGGAGAAAGTGTATTTTAAAACATACTTTTATTATTTAATAAAGTGGCAAATGTGGAGAATTGTCAAACTGGATATAAATTTATGAGAGTTTTTATGTTGACATCATTGGTACTAGACAGCGATACAAAGATGATAAACAAACAGAGCATCTATATTGATATAGCGCTGTATCGTATATATCTAAAAATGTTATATTTAATAATAAATAGGCCAAAAATGAAAAGAATCGCAGTGCCTCTTTAAGCATGGTGCCATTATAATATTTGAGGTGTCTTTAAACATCATTTGAAGAGATAACAGTTTTGTTAATAATTACAGATTTTTTCCCAATTTTTAATCTTTTGATTAATAAAATGCTTATTTTGTTTTTGTCCTTACGTGGTATTTGATATTTCTAAATAAAAGTATCTTACATACCAAGGAGCCAATGTTCTGTCTGCCAATTTGTAAAGTGAAGAAGACAAGTTCTCATTAAATATGTGACTTCATTTGACAAGGTGGCCAGTTAAAAAATGACTCAAGCATCTAGGAAGTTAACTGGCAAAGCAGTCTTAAAGGACCACTATAGGCACCCAGACCACTTCAGCTTAATGAAGTGGTCTGGGTGCCAGGTCCAGCTAGGTTTAACCCTTTTTGCTGTAAACATAGCAGTTTCATAGAAACTGCTATGTTTACATTTGGGTTAATCCAGCCTCTAGTGGCTGTCTCAATGACAGCCGCTAGAGGCGCTTCCGCGCTTCTCACTGTGATTTTCACATTGAGAAGACGCCAGCGTCCATAGGAAAGCATTGAGAATGCATTCAGCTGATGACGGAAGAAGAGGGAGAAGAGTCCCAGTGCCGAGGGAGCCTGGCGCTGGAAAAAAGGTAAGGGATTAACCCCTTCCTCCCCCCTCAGCGCCACGGGAGTGGGACCCTGAGGGTGGGGGCATTCTCAGGGCACTATAGTGCCAGGAAAACGAGTATTTTTTCCTGGCACTATAGTGGTCCTTTAAGTGGATGGAGGAATTTTCTTCTGCATAGATTTATGTATCCATTATCTCCACATTAGCATAGCAAGGTTAATTTAAAAAAAAAAAAAGGGGCATACAGAGGCAAGCGACCATGTAAATACTATATATAAAACATTAAAATGCGTGTTTAAGGTGATGATTGAGAATGCCTGTAAGCCATACATGTGCTATAAATTCTGCTTGTAAGGAACCTTCTTTTGTGTACAATATGGTTTAGAATCCATTGTAATTTTTACATGACTCCACTATTTTTCCAATGGCAATCTATGAGCAAAAACGTTAAATCACTCTGAAATAAAAACATATTAAATAATATTCGCAATTTCATACAAGTACCAGGGTTTTTCTGAAAATCAAGATGCCCTTTAGCTCTTAGAAAATGAGAAATAGGATTCTTGATCAAAACCCAAACTGGGATCACAGTCTCTATCTCTGGCAAACTTTACCTTTCCAACACTGTTCAACAGTCCTCACTGGAGACTGGCTGTGCTTCACTTACTAAAATCAACAGTCAAGGGTCATTGTCAATCCACTTATCTGTTTGAGTCACCAAGAGACCCGGCACACTATAAGGAAGTGTTAAAAACATTTTACCAGCAGAGGCAGAATCCTTCTCTCCAAATACATTGTTAATTTCTACAACATCTCTAGGCCAGTGAACTTTGAAAAACATGAGCCTTCTATTATGGTGGTAAGGAGTGTCTATGTGCAGGGTCTCTGTTCGAAACGCTGCACAATCAAAAGTATTTGCACATATGTGCCAGGCTTTAGTTAAACACGTGAATTTGGCAGCCAGAAACTATGTTCCAAAATGACAAATGTCAATTCTGTGCAAAAAATACATCTGCCTCTGCATTCTGTCAATGAATGTAATTAGCTACTCCTTTGTAGACAGATTTTGCAAAGGGAAGCATTTATCTTCTTTCCCTCTCACGCACCTTCATTGAAGCCCTCCCAGCCTCCGTAAGTTAAAAACAAAACAATGCACCCATCTCCTTGCTCCCTCCCCTTTATTGGGCTCTGAGCAATTGATTGAACCTCACAACGGCTGCCGTCAAATCAGATGGGGTAGTGGAATGTCACTGGATATCATGTAATTAATTTTTTAATTTGATTAATTATTGATTTTTATATTTTTTGGGGGGGGGGGGTGACCTAAAGAATAATGTCCAATTGGCATATCTAAAAAAATAAGGAGTCAATAAGGTTTGAAGTAACGATTTACACACATAGCAAATAGAATATATGGGGAAAAAAACAAAACACACAAACGGCGTCAGTGATAGATTCCCTCTACTGTCAAATCATTATCAACATTTCTAGACTTAACCCGTTAACCAATGTGGAATAGAATATGTTTGTAAGCCAACAAAATACACTAGATGTATACAATATACATCCCTTTTCATATCTTTAGTTATATAGGCAACTGATAACAATTACAGAAACACAGACCGATTATATATTTACAATTACACACTGTACATATAAACCCAAGGTTAAAGCAACTTGTCCCCATATTTTCCTTGATTCAGAAAAACAAAATACCCCCTAATTGTTGGAAAATAGGAAGCCATTTTGAATTACAACATGGCTTCCTGTTGATCAGCATTGCATAGTGTTTTATATTATTAAAAATGTCAACATTCATACAAAGTGGGGTCAACATTCATAAAAATTTTGGAAGAACCACCAATTTATATGCTGTAATAATAAAATGGAAACTATGGAAATTTGGTATTATAAAAGAAAAATACTTATTTTTTTATCAATGGAATAATCATGGCTATTTACATAGGTTAAAGGACAGTCCAGAGCATGTTATGCTCACATTTGATCTTGGTGCTGTCCAATCTGAGCCAATCTTTGCAGTATGACATTATACATCAACAGCTAAAATTTTACAGAGCCCTTCAAATACATTATGGCATTGAAACAAGTGCATAAGGAGTAAAAGAAAGCATATCAACAAATTATATTTGACAGAAAAGCGCGTGGGCTTACAGTACAGTCTCACAGCCCACCATTCTAATGACAAAGGAATAACATGTATACTGGCTCAGCATTCAAAAAATGCAGGAAACAACAGCAGTGGTTACTGCGTACTTTGAAGTATACTAGTAAGAAGAATACAGAATATATAGGCCAGGGGTGCCCAAAAGGTAGATCCCCAGATGTTTTAAAACTACAGCTTCCATGATGCTTTGTCATTCTGAACACATGCAAAGGCATACAAAGCATCATGGTAGCTGTAGTTCTACAACATCTGCATGGTGTACCTTTTAAGCACCCCTGGTCTAGGCTTGTGGTTTCTGAACAGATTTACTGGTCACTAAATTGTACACATGACATTAGCTTTCCAACCAATTCTTGTACTGTAAAATCAGTTGGATACCCTTTCTTAAACATTCTCTTACATTCTATAAAAACCACTTGCATTAGACTCTGCCCATTAGAAAATGAGGGTCTCCACTACACTGGTAAAAACTGCGAGGTTGCAATGAACTACATATCATGAGCAATTGACTCATAATATGTAGTTTGAGCTGCCTTTTAAGATAATTAGGAAATCATGAATTATTACAATGTTTTATTATCCATCGATTACTTTTTGATCGTATTTATAGCATGTTTAGGTTCTTCATTTTCCACTACCAAATTTCAGGTATATGAGTGTAACCATGATTTAATGACTAGCTACATCTAATTTGTAACAGATATACAGTAAAAGATAGTCGAGAGTGTGAACTAAATAAAAGTGTATCTTCCATGCATAATAAAAAAAAAAACAAACAAACTTGCCAATAGATAAAAATCTACTGATAATTTAGAACACAACGTTAACATGACACGTTCGTAGATTGGAGGGTGATTTCAATGGACGATGAGATGAAGTACAATGAAGCATCCTAAACTAACATGTACTATTGTATAAAAGGGCAGACTAGTTAGGATAACTGATTCAAATGAACATAACAGTGTATAGTGACTCAAATAATTCCATCATGAACCCTGTCCATTGCCAAGGTTGATATAGAACATCATTGATGTGGACTTGTTACTGGTGAATTTTTTTTATAATTTTTTTTAAAAATTCTTTAAATTAAAGGGACTCTCCAGGCAGACGATTTTACTTACTTGGTTAATGCGCCGGGAGCCTCGTGAAGCCGCGCCCCCTATTTCGTCAAAATGACGCACATACTTCATAGGGCGGCATTCATGCCGCCCTATGAAGTCCTGAGCACACTACCGCGCATGCACGCGGTGTGCGCGGCCGCAAGCTGAGCTGATTGACAGCTTAGCTCGTGGTCTTTGCCCGCCCCCTCTCCTCTGCTGACAGGCAGGAGAGAGAAGGCGCGCACACAGTTTAATTTTAATACGTCTGACGTGTACAAGGCCTTTTTAGTGATGAGTGATGGCCACTGGAGGTATTCCTATCAATCAATGTAAACACTGTATTTTCTTTGAAAATACAGTGTTTACATTAGATTGCCTGCAGGTAGCTATAGATCTCACCTGAACAAATACAATAAGCTGTAGTTGTTCAGGTGACTATAGTGTCCCTTTAAATGTTTTTTTGCAATGCATAGCAAATACACAATAAGAAACAATTGCCAATTAATTGTTATAGAAAAGATATTACCTAACAATAATAAGAAAGCATGATAGATAACTTGCTCAAATGTTTTGTAAATGGGTATAGTAATCATAGGACCCTGGTGACAGGATCAGGTGGCACACCACCAGAACACCTAAGCCTTGCTTGGGTCCTATTAAGGGAAGAAACATATTATTCAAACTTATTCATCCCTAAACACAGGAGGGTTCAGCATAACAGTGTTAAAAATGTTAACGTATCGTATAAGAGCAATAAATGCTTAGCCATAAGTCATACATGGTTAAGTGTGCCGTACTAAGTGCCATGTAGTCGGTTGAGGAAGTAAGTGGCATTTGCAGGTGTGGGAAGTAGAATAGGATACCCCTAAATAAGGAGGCCCTGGAGGGGGAGGGGAGGGGAGAGAGAGTTGGGGGGAGGGGTTTTACTTCACACTATAATTCAGCAGCCTGGGGTTCCCTATCTGTAGGACACTCCGTTAGCTCGTAGCAGTAGGTAATGGCCCTCATGCCATTGTAGAGTGGCTCTAGAGAAGTCTTGGCAAATTGTAGCTGTGTTTTATCATGTAAGGCTGCCATGATGCAGTTCCTATCCAATGAAGAAAAACAGCTGACACCTTGGTATTGCTTGCAACTCTGTAGACCCTGTCTAGGATCATTTTCTTGACCACGGTGGGTGGTAGAATGCCTAATATAATGAGGCAATTTGTCCGCCTGAATAGCAGTGGTGATGCCGCGGATTTTTACATGATTGCCTCAGTGACGATCCTCACAGGAAGGTCATTTGCAAAGGTAGTGATTGCTGGTTGACCCGTAACTGTTGGACCGTGTCATTCAATGTAGCCACAGTGGCCTCACTGTCCATAACATCTTCTTCTGATGCCTGGATGCAGTCTCTGATCACCTTAACTTCTGTCCATCATTTTGTGCAGGTTGGCAAGAAGGACCTTAAGGTCATCCTTTATTACAAGTGTCGATCAGACTGTGCCACGGATGAATATTTAGCAGTTTCGAATAAATGTTCTATGAAATGGTCAATGCCACTATGCTTTCTCCACAAATTCTGGCACTCTATTTAGCCAGTAACTGTGTCATTAGTGTATACTTGCAAATCTATGAGAATACAAAAACAGTTTGCTCTCTCCACCCATAAAAAATGAGGGGCTCTGGCATTTATACTTAGTGTTCTCCTTTAATACTCCATGATCCATCATATTACTCAACATTAACTTACAATTCAGATACCGATATTGCCTGTAATACATCCTAGGACCGCCAGTCTCATTACAAGCCCGACGGTCCTGGGGGGGGACGGGCAGCAAGCCCTTACTCAGGCCCGGACTGGCCATCGGGCACACCGGGCAAATGCCCGGTGGGCCGCGGTGGCCATGGGCCGAGGCCGGCAGGGGAGATCACAGGATCTCCCCTGCCGGTCTATGCAGGGCCGGCACTCTCCTAGCGCCGGCCCCGCTGTTTGTCACGACGGGCCGGTGGGGAGATCAAGGATCTCCCTGACCGGCCCACATGCGGCCGCCGGCGGGGAGGGAGGGAGGGACAGCCAGCTAGGCTGGAGAGAGGACCCGGCGGAGCTCTAACTTGCAGCTCCGCCGGGTTCCTCTCGCGAGATCCGGCGCGTTGCCATGGCAACGACCGGATCTCGCGAGAGTGAACTCTAGCCTCACAGGCTAGAGTTCACTCACCCACGAGGACCACCAGGGAACACCGCCACCCCGCCTTCCAGCGTGCCGGACCCCCCCTCCCAGGCTAAAGGTAAGAAGGGAGGGGGGGAAATAATGACTTTTTTTTTTTTATTTACCCCCCCTACACACACACACAATAACATTTATACAGCACTCTCACACCCATCACACACAGCACTCTCTCCCACAGCACTCTCACACCCATCACACACAGCACTCTCTCCACAGCACTCTCACACCCATCACACACAGCACTCTCTCCACAGCACTCTCACACCCATCACACACAGCACTCTCTCCCACAGCACTCTCACACCCATCACACACAGCACTCTCTCCCACAGCACTCTCACACCCATCACACACAGCACTCTCTCCCACAGCACTCTCACACCCATCACACACAGCACTCTCACAGCACTCTCAGCACTCTCACCCATCACACACAGCACTCTCACACACATTACACACAGCACTCTCACACACAGCACTCTCACCCATCACACACAGCACTCTCACACACATTACACACAGCACTCTCACACAGCACTCTCACACATCACACACAGCACTCTCTCACACAGCACTCTCACACCCATCACACACAGCACTCTCACACAGCACTCTCACACCCATCACTCACACCCAGCACTCTCTTACCCATCACACACAGCACTCTCACACCCAGCACTCTCACACCATCACACACAGCGCACTCTCACAGAGCACTCACACACACACAGCACTCTCACACCCATCACACACAGCACTTTCACACACACACAGCACTCTCTCACAGCACTCTCACAGAGCACTCTCTCACACCCATCTCACACAGCACTCTCACACCCATCACTCACACACGGCACTCTCACACCCATCACTCACACACGGCACTCTCACACACCGCACCCTCACACACACACATACTGCACCCCTCACATACACACAGAACCCCCCCAACACACTGCACCACACACATACACAATACTTCCAAATATATATATATATATACACACACACTACACTCTTAAAGGACCACTCTAGCCACCCAGACCACTTCAGCTTAATGAAGTGGTCTTGGTGCCAGGTCCTTCTAGGGTTAACCCATTGTTTTATAAACATAGCAGTTTCAGAGAAACTGCTATGTTTATCAATGGGTTAAGCCTTCCCCCAAAGCCTCTAGCAGCTGTCTCATTGACAGCCGCTAGAGGCGCTTGCGTGCTTTTCACTGTGAAAATCACAGTGAGAGCACGCAAGCGTCCATAGGAAAGCATTATAAATGCTTTCCTATGCGACCGGCTGAATGCGCGCGCAGCTCTTGCCGCGCGTGCGCATTCAGCCGACGGGGCGGATCGGAGGAGGAGAGCTCCCCGCCCGGCGCTGGAAAAAGGTAAGTTTTAACCCCTTTCCAGAGCCGGGCGGGAGGGGGTCCCTGAGCCACATATGCATCACATTACACCACAAACACAACACGACTAAAACCGACCTTATTACACAATACCACACCACGACCAGCTCACTCTACACACACGCAATACCACAAGCAGGCTCCAAACACATGCACAATACTCTGTCCTGGCCTTTTGTCTCCTGGTATCCATTTATAGAGACACCAGAGACAAGTTGCAAGGAAACACAGTGCAAGCATGTTATTAAATTTGCTTGCACTGTGCAGAACAAATACAGGACTTTTTTCTCATGCTAGAGCTCTTCAGCAGAGCTCTGCGCATGGTCTGCCCTGGAAGAGCATTGAACCAACATGCTCACTTTGAGAGGAGGCGTGTTTGTCATTGGTGATGACAAAACACACCTCCTCTGCCCCGCCCCCTTTTTAGTGGGCCGCTGTGTTAAAAAAATGCCCGGGCCGAATTTTTCTCCCAGTCCGGCCCTGCCCTTACTCACCTCCCAGCAGCTCCTCCAGCTCCCCAGTGTAACTCTCGCGAGACCCGCAGCCGTCAGAGTGTTGCCATGGGTTACCATGGCAACGCTCCGCGCGGCACGCTGGCCGCGAGAGTTACACTGGGGAGCTGGAGGAGCTGTTGGGAGGTGAGTAAGCGCTTGCTGCCTGCCCACCCCCCCCACAGCTCAGCCAATGCCACTGGACCACCAGGGACTGCTATATCCCCTCTCCCTGGCCAAGTATGAAACAGGGAGGGGGGGCAACAAAAATAAATAATAATTAAATATGAAAAATAAATAATAATTTAATAAAAAATGCCCACTCACACTCCATTATATACACTACACAAACACACTGTGTATATAATGCAGAGTGTGTGTGTTTGTATATTGTGTGTATATAATGCAGTGTTTGTGTAGTGTGTTTATATAATGCACACTACACAAACACACTGCATTATATACACACTCTGCAATATATACACACACACACACTACACAAACACACTGTGTATATAATGCAGTGTGTTTGTGTAGTGTGTATATAATGCAGTGTTTTTGTGTAGTGTGTGTATATAATGCAGTGTTTGTGTATATAATGCAGTGTGTTTGTGTAGTGTGTGTATATAATGCAGTGTGTGTGTAGTGTGCGTATATAATGCAGTGTGTGTGTAGTGTGTTTATTTAATGCACACTATACAAACACACTGCATTATATACACACACTATACAAACACACTGCATTATATACACACACACACTCTGCATTATATAAACACACTACATTCATTATATACACACACACTACACAAACACACTTTGCATTCACTTTACGGACACTACCCACACACTACACAAACACTCTGCTTTCATTATATACACACTACACAAACACTCTGCTTTCATTATATACACACTACACTAATACACACTGCATCCACTACACACTACACAAATACACACTGCCTCCACTACACAAACACACACTGCACACACTACACAAACACACACTACACAAACACACACTGCATCCACTCACACACTGCACAAACACACACTGCATCCACTACACACACTACACAAACACACACTGCATCCACTACACACACTACACAAACACATACAGCTCCCCTGTCTAAACACACTGCATCCACTACACGTGGCATGTATATTTTGTGCATTTACCTTTAGAAATAGTTTTTATTTTCCAAAATGGTAAATGTACAGAATATCGGCAAATTATATCGGCTATCGGCCTGAAAGTTCACAGAATATCGGTATCGGCTCTAAAAAATCAATATCGGTCGATCCCTAATTAAAACTTTTTTTAGTTTAAAGGGACACTCTAGGCACCCAGACCTCTTCATCTCACTGATGTCTTTTGGATACAATGTCTCTGTTCCCTTAACCCTGCAATGTAAAACAATGCATTTTTAGAGAAACTGCAATGTTTCCTGGTGGTTAATGGGGTTTCCGTGAGGATGTCCAGCATCTTCAAAATCCCTATAGGAAATCATCGATTACATTTTTTTTCTATGGGGGAAGATCTAATATGCGGGCTGCACTTGCGGCGCATAGCATTATGTTCCCCCCATTGCTAAGCTGGAAGACGCAGAGACAGATTCAGCATTGAGGGTCCTCGTCGCTGAAAAGAAGTATGTGTTAAAAGTTGTTGTTTTTTTAACCTTTTTAACACCAGGCATAAGGGGGGAGGACATTCAGCCATGGGCAGGGAAATACAGTTTTGTATTTCTAATGCTATAGAGTTCCTTTAAATTATCCTGAGGGTACAATACGTGTGTGCACACATGCAGAGGGGTTTTTCTTTCTTAAATCCAAACGGACTTCAGTGTTTGGCAACTATGTATGAAAAATATCACTGATACCTGTGTGAGCTCATGAAAACTCTGGTTGCATTCAGGCTCAATTAGAATTCAGGCAACCTTAATGTATCTAGGATACATGGCCAACCAATAGTCTGCACCCTATAGTAATGGATCTACTTTAGTCTAGACATCTTGAGTCTCATTTAAAAAGATCCCTAATCATACATTAAGAAAAGGATAACTTAGATCATCTGCCTAAAAACCAGTATGGCAAGAAAATAGTTAAATAGCTGAAGCCCTTTATCAGCAATTACAAGTAACAGGTGGCCACACAACATATTTAAACAGTCACTGAACAGATGGCGCCATAATGTGACTCGTGATAATCCTGAAAACAACTTTAAAGAGAAACTGCAATATACAACTCTTAACTTATAATTGACGCAAAGCATTCGGAACGCAAAATTTTGATCCCAACGCTATTGTAACCAACACCCCCTGTGTGCAATAAAAATGAAATAAATGTACATTTTTACTTACCTTTTTCCAGCGTTGAGTCTCCCTCGACACTGCTGACCTCTCCGCCTCCTGTGACTTCATGGAGGAGGCATGTCCTCCTTTGCAATGATCCAATCCAATTGAGGACCTAATGCGCATGTGTGGCTAGCACTGTGCACCTTCAAGCTCCCCTGCATCATACGTTTTACTCTGTCAATGCAGTGCAAACCGAAGAAAAAACTGCAGTGAGTTAGACTGCATGGTTAAAAGGACAGGGCCACTACACCCAGACCACTTAATTGAGTATGGTGTCCCTTTAACCCCTTAAGGACCAAACTTCTGGAATAAAAGGGAATCATGACATGTCACACGTCATGTGTCCTTAAGGGGTTAAATATTTTTAACATTACTTAATGTATATGTAAAATATCCCAAATTTTCGGGACATGTTGCCCGAGTTTCTTTCACAATGCATATGTTGCAGTATTGTTTTTGAAATGATTCGACTTTTTGCCAATACGTGTGTGTTTGCATTAGCCGAGCTCTGGGCAGATGTCCCAGTCCACACACCACCTACCAGAATTGACTGGATGTTCATTTTATAGATTATTACATCATTGAGATTACAAGAATGAACATGTGTTAAATGTATCACTAAATATTATAAAATGCTTCTTTTTCCTATTTAAACTAATATTTTTATTTGTGGATTGCCAATATATTTTTCAGCGCTGTACAGCAATAGCTTTCATTTCTCTAAGAAGCACTGTAGAAATAATAATTTGCCATTGATACACATAGTGGTTCTTTTACTAAAAACCACGCTGTAAGAAACTGAAAAAATAACTGCTAATTTTACATAGCAGCGGATTTGGAACATTTTCTAGTCCATCAATAGTTACAGCATCGATATTATAGCCTTAATTTTTTTTTTTTTTAAATTAAAATGAGATATTTTTATACTTGCAAAATTCAGTCTAATCAAGTGAAGCCCACATACCCTCAAATTCCATCCAGTGAAAGACTACTTAACAACCTCCCCAAAAAAACCAAAACCCTTTAAAAACAAGATTAAATATAGAAAAAAAGTGTCTTAACATAGACCAGCCAGAAGTCCATAAGAAAAATGAATGTACAGCTCTATTGAAGTGGATTTTATCTGTGTACCTGGCTGTATGCCAATGTCATAGACTGAGCTGCTCCTAGCAATCTCGCTACTCCATTTAAAAAAAATTATTTACTGTATGGACCGTAGAGTACTGCAAAATACAGATCAAAACAAATAAATATGATAACCGTATTTGCATTGCTTACTAATAGAATGAAGATGCACAGCAAGTCTGTTGGAAGTGGTGACATCTGCAGAGCTGAAAGCCTACTTAAAGTGGAACTATAGACACCCACACCACTTCAGCTCATTGAAGTGGTCTAGGTCCAGTGTTTCAGGGCCCTTAACCCTGCAATGGTAATTATTGCAGTTTTTGATAAACTGCAATAATTACCTTTGTGGGTTAACTCCACCTCTAGTGGCTGTCTACCAAAAAGCCACTAGAAGGACTTCCAGGTTGTTAGGCGACTTTGTTACGACATCCAGCCTCACCCAAAACCCTATAGGAGAGCATTATACAATGCTTTCCTATGGGGGAAGTCTTAATGAAAGCGCTGCGCTCGCCCCGCATGCGCATTAGGTCACCCTGTGCCTGATGACGGCAGAGAAGAGGAGGTGGAGCCTGATCCCGTGCCAAGGGACATTGGCGCTTGAAGCAGGTTTAACACCTTCTGCCCACTATGAGGAGGGAGGGGGGCTGGCACAAGGTAAGGGGGTACTATAAGGAGCTATAGAGCCAGGAAAACAACTTTGTTTTTCTAACACTTTAGTTTTCCTGTGAATGGTTATTACAGGCACCATGACCACTTCAGTGATTTGAAGTCGCCATAGTGCCTGGAGTCTATATGTGTAGCACTCTGCTTCCACATTGAAAGTATAATCCAGGGACAAAAAGACACCAGTAGCTTCAGACCAAGTGTAAATGTTAGGGACACGTACAAGCCACACTCTATACTATACTACCGTATGCCTTATTGCCAACCCTAAAATGTGCTATGACACCAATTCTTTACACAATACAACTTGTGTTTTTAAACTCACCACCTGCTGTTTTAACCCCGCACCTGCTGCATTATTCCCAAAATTGTAGCATTAAACCCGCACTCTCTGCATTAAAATCCTGCTCCAAAAGCAATAACCCCGTGTGGCTCTGTAAAATGAACTTCAAATATAGTGCATTAAAGCAGCACTGTCACAAATTATATATTTGGGGATGTTGTTTTTCTCTCAGTGTTCCAGGGGACTCTGGGCTAACAATGAAATATGCCTGAAACAGGCTGGCGGCATTTAAGGACAAAAAAATGCCATATGTATAATAACAGTATTCACAGCAAAAGTCATATTACAAAACACATTGAGTGAGGTCTACTGCAGTAGAACTTCTGCAATATGCAGTGTGCAATATCACAAAACTCCACAATAATAAAACTCACAGCAATGTGTGTTGTGAGTGTTTACGGAGCTCCACAGCAATAAAACCCACAGTAATATATGTTGTGAGCATATCACAGAAATCCACAGCAATAATATCCACTGCAATATAAAGTGTTCATTGTTGTATCCCAGAGATTCTTGAAAATTAACCTCACAGGGATAGATGGTGTATATGTGCATATCATAGTGTTCGATTGCAACCATAACCACGGCTATGAGCACTACGTCCCAGAGCTCCCCCGTAATAAAGCTCACAGATCTATGTGTTTGAGATTATCACAGAGTACTACTGGAATAAAACTCACAAGTTACAACATTTTCTCACTCATTAACAAGGAACTGGACAAACTTCTATTTATTATAAGTAAGATTATAGCTTCCCTTTTTCTTGGGCCATTTTTAGTTTTACCCTGTTCCTTAGAGAAGGGACTCAACCTAAAAGGAACATGTAAAATCCCCGGATTGGTCTTAATTATTTTATTTCTACTCCTTGGGCACGGGTTTAATCTGCAGTATTATGGATCACACACATTTCATTTCAGATTAATGTGAATCATGCATTCATTTTAAAGTTTAATTAATTGTAAATGCAATTCTAATAATACTAATAGAGACTTCAACTAGAATATTGTCACAGCCACATCGGAACTAAAGGTTAATAGTGATAGAATTTCACGAGTATTTACCTATTTGGTTTTAAATGAGTCACATTCAGTTATCCACTCTTGAAATGTTCAAACGCTTTAAGAAAAACACTTGGCCTAACTTATCTGCCCAGCAAAACACTTCTAATCTCATTTGATTTGTTTATACATGCACATCTTAAAATGGGTTGTTCATAAGCCAAGTACATTCTATCAAAATGTTACTGACGTGCAAATGATAACGTGAATTTACATTATTCTTAACAAATAGCTAGTGAATATGTAATCCTGATAATTACCACAACTGATCACAAAAAAAAAAAAAAAAAACTTAGGCCCAGCTAGGGAAGCAAAATCTGCTGGACCCTTTAGCACCAGCACCATGGACCCTGCTGGATCTCACGAGGCCCTATGAAGGTTGACAGTCAGGACACCTGAGTCCTAGGCGGCCACCTAGAGTGGCCTTATGGTTAAACCTGTCCTACCCAGATCTGTTAAATGTAGGGAAATGTAGGGGATTCAAGCTTCCTCTGGTTAAAGTTTTTTAATTCATCTCTACTAAGGTCAATGTGGGTTTGAGTAAAGACGAGGAACTTCAAGGCTGGGATTTCAATGTGTCCTTCTCATACATATAATTCAGTTCCCAATTCCAGCCCTAAAAATTTGCCTTTTTACTATATAAACAATATATGATGTTACCACAGAAGGCAGAAAACCCATCAGGTATAAAACTTAGGTCACATCTTCACTCTTTCACTGTACGCCAAGTAAGACAACTTATTTGCTAGATAAACTTGAGAATCTTCTGCATTTGACCAGAACATTCTAGGTTTCACAGATAACTGTTAGCCCTCTGGAGCAGTGCACATATCTGTAGGTAGAAGGATTGTAGGGTAGCACAGTCTACTCTAGCCTGGAGCCTACCCAGACTGCCTGCTTTACGGGTAATCCTACATATTTTGGGGATTAACCTGTTTGCTTTGGGCTGTCCTTTTCACAATTTCATAGAACAAACGTAGGGTTGATCTCCAACCCACCATACTTACAAAGTTACAAACAGATACACACAGTATTTATATAGTATTTAAAAATAGTGCTACTCTTCAACACGAAATTTTCAATAGTGCCATTACAATATCAGACAAACAAATGCTTACAATTATCTTTCTATATTTACTTAGTATTTAAATTGTCCTGCCCTGGAAATAATGAAAAACTTTAAGCAACACTCAGTTAAACCATGATCTCCATGAAAAATACGTCCAATAACCAAATCAATCCAATTTGAACCAAGGGTGGATTAAACATTATTCCCGGAAATGGAATTCTCGCTCTCACAGTTTTTGACCCCCCCCAAAAAATTGCACAATCCACTAAGGCACGTAACAGGGCTATGCAGATTTGGTTACCTTTCATGTTACTTTTTTGCTGGTTTTAAATGGATTTTACATATTTACAGAAGTTTGTGCAAGCAGTTTACTTAACAGTGTTTGACCACAATTCCCTGACGATACCCTAACGTTCGATTTACAGGAAAATCTTTGAGCAGAAAGATACAGTAGATAGTTTTCGTGTCTTCTCTTGTAACGTATGCAGAGACTTCAGTGGCTCATAAAGAAATGTCACCGCCAATTTGCGTCACGCCTGTTCCTCTCGTTACGTATTACCAGGTTGCGGAAAAATAGAAAGATCTGCGACCAAACTTGATTTCTGTTCTGTTGACGCTGTGAACAAAACAAAGAAGAGGGCTTACTAAGGTTGAATCATGGCAGTACACAATACATCTTAAAATTGCGGTAGTAGTTCATGGAAAATTATAGTATTCTAATACTATACTCAATAATACTATACAGTACTACATAAACAATACAATGTGATTCCAGTATGATTAGCCCCATATCTCCTAATCTCATTTAGCCTTGTGTTGGATTAATTGGGGATGGAGTAGCATCTTGTATCATATTGGGGATATGTTTGTTGAACCAGTTGTTTCAACAAGCACTGAAGATGGAACACATAAATTTGCACATTGTATCCAAGACCACTCTTACATATGTTCGCCAAGGGGCCAATTTGACCTCAAAATACATTTCTAAGCAATTTATTCCTGGCTACTAAAACAATCCCACCCACGGCCTAGTCATTAACTGTTTAAATGATACCAAACCATAGGTACAACATGACATTCTATCAAAGACACTGTTAAAACATATGAAAATATGATTTGCATGTGAAACCCATGGATATCAAGGTTAGATAACATCATATAGCGAATAACAAACATCCTCTGTTGGTTCTCAACTTTAGTGCAAGACCTGTGTGGTGTAAAATATATGTAATACTCTCATTTTAAAAAACATCTGAAAACCAATGACTGCATTCACCCCTTCTGTACACAGAATTCTACTGAAAAGCTTGTCCTTGCAAATTCAAACATTGATTAATGTAATTCTCTTCTAATTGGTCTCCCCAGAAGCTGTATTGCCTTGCTACAGTCTGTAATGAATGCTGCTGCCAGGCTGATTTTCCTCTCTAGTCGGTCCTCTCACACCTCACCCCTCTGTCAGTGTTACATTGGTTTGCTGTATCCTATGAGGCAATTTGAAATACTAACACTTATAAAGTTCTAAAACCACTCTATCTCCCCAGTACATTTCTTCACCAATTCATAGGTACGTCCCTTCTCGGTCTCTCCGCTTGGCCGGTGACCTTCTTCTATCCACCGCTCGCACCCTTACTGCTAACCCACAATAACGTGCTGCTCCTCTTCTCCGGAACAGCCTGCCTACTCCCATCAGACTATCCCCTAGTCTTCAACAATTTAAAGAAGTCCCTCAAAACCCATCTCTTCAGAATAGCGGTAGTAATTTATGTTTCACAAACCTATCTCTTGCTCTCTCTTATACAGGGAGTGCAGAATTATTAGGCAAATGAGTATTTTGACCACATCATCCTCTTTATGCATGTTGTCTTACTCCAAGCTGTATAGGCTCGAAAGCCTACTACCAATTAAGCATATTAGGTGATGTGCATCTCTGTAATGAGAAGGGGTGTGGTCTAATGACATCAACACCCTATATCAGGTGTGCATAATTATTAGGCAACTTCCTTTCCTTTGGCAAAATGGGTCAAAAGAAGGACTTGACAGGCTCAGAAAAGTCAAAAATAGTGAGATATCTTGCAGAGGGATGCAGCACTCTTAAAATTGCAAAGCTTCTGAAGCGTGATCATCGAACAATCAAGCGTTTCATTCAAAATAGTCAACAGGGTCGCAAGAAGCGTGTGGAAAAACCAAGGCGCAAAATAACTGCCCATGAACTGAGAAAAGTCAAGCGTGCAGCTGCCACGATGCCACTTGCCACCAGTTTGGCCATATTTCAGAGCTGCAACATCACTGGAGTGCCCAAAAGCACAAGGTGTGCAATACTCAGAGACATGGCCAAGGTAAGAAAGGCTGAAAGACAACCACCACTGAACAAGACACACAAGCTGAAACGTCAAGACTGGGCCAAGAAAAATCTCAAGACTGATTTTTCTAAGGTTTTATGGACTGATGAAATGAGAGTGAGTCTTGATGGGCCAGATGGATGGGCCCGTGGCTGGATTGGTAAAGGGCAGAGAGCTCCAGTCCGACTCAGACGCCAGCAAGGTGGAGGTGGAGTACTGGTTTGGGCTGGTATCATCAAAGATGAGCTTGTGGGGCCTTTTCGGGTTGAGGATGGAGTCAAGCTCAACTCCCAGTCCTACTGCCAGTTCCTGGAAGACACCTTCTTCAAGCAGTGGTACAGGAAGAAGTCTGCATCCTTCAAGAAAAACATGATTTTCATGCAGGACAATGCTCCATCACACGCGTCCAAGTACTCCACAGCGTGGCTGGCAAGAAAGGGTATAAAAGAAGAAAATCTAATGACATGGCCTCCTTGTTCACCTGATCTGAACCCCATTGAGAACCTGTGGTCCATCATCAAATGTGAGATTTACAAGGAGGGAAAACAGTACACCTCTCTGAACAGTGTCTGGGAGGCTGTGGTTGCTGCTGCACGCAATGTTGATGGTGAACAGATCAAAACACTGACAGAATCCATGGATGGCAGGCTTTTGAGTGTCCTTGCAAAGAAAGGTGGCTATATTGGTCACTGATTTGTTTTTGTTTTGTTTTTGAATGTCAGAAATGTATATTTGTGAATGTTGAGATGTTAGATTGGTTTCACTGGTAATAATAAATAATTGAAATGGGTATATATTTGTTTTTTGTTAAGTTGCCTAATAATTATGCACAGTAATAGTCACCTGCACACACAGATATCCCCCTAACATAGCTAAAACTAAAAACAAACTAAAAACTACTTCCAAAAATATTCAGCTTTGATATTAATTAGTTTTTTGGGTTCATTGAGAACATGGTTGTTGTTCAATAATAAAATTAATCCTCAAAAATACAACTTGCCTAATAATTCTGCACTCCCTGTAGGGCCACTGCCAAATCTCACGTTCAATTCTCCTACCCACCGCGCTGCCCATCCTCTGCTAGGTTACAAGCTCTATCGAGCGGAGTCCTTATCAACCTATTTTTCCTGTAACATTTTGTAATGGTCTCATTTATTGATAAATTGCTCCCTCCCTATATAAATAATGATGGTGGTGATAGTAAAGGTAATAATAAAAAAGCAGTTCCAATGTGTACAATATCCCTTTAAAATAACATAGGATTTATTTTAAGCATTACATACTGTTTACCATAACTGCCAATTAATTAGATACACATTTCATTACCCCTAACTTTTCGCTATGAGCCGCCGTGACTGAGTTTTATATTTAGTATAGATTTGTGGAGTCTCCAAAGTTTAAGGCCCAGATGTATGTATGACTTTTTTAATACACTTTCCGCTGGTAGAATCCTGCTGTCTATAGCCAAATGTTTTCACTATCTGATAAATCATTGCATTTGTCAAAGCCACAGCTGCACTTGTAGCGAAAAAAATGTTTTCAGCCCAGACCTCTCTGCGTGAAAACTCTCCTTAAAGTCCCAAGGTGAAATGTTTGGGAGAGAGTGGTGATCCATCTGTAAGTGATTTGACACTGTGAAGGTTCCAAGGTTAATCTTCAATTTAAACCACACTGCTGAGGCAGCAAAAACTGGGATTTTATAGAGTAAAAATAAAAGAAAAAAAATTATAGAAAATACAACTATCCCTCCTCTCCCACAAGCATTGCCCAAATCACTTTATAGCTATATCGTACAAAAAGTCATAAATAATGAGCCCTACTGGGCTTTCTTTAAAGTTGGGTCCAGTTAAAACAACAATATATTTTTCAAGCTGAGTAACATTTATTTCTTTCAATAGAAAATAAACGTGTACAGTGTAATGTTTTGCGTATCTATTAGTTTCTATAACAAAGGCCATCTACTCTGTTAATTTGTACAAAAGCACAATTTGAAATAGTAAACTGTTAATAAAGGGATAAACTGAGCACTCACACATTTTTGGTATAATTACGTAGATCAGGTTCGCTATGCTATGTGTGTATTTTTAGCATTTATTTTAATTTTATTTTTAAATAAGATTTGATTCTTCCCATTCTAATTGCAGTTTTTTTGTTCCAAACCTACTGCTGTACATAATATATTAAAAAAAAATATAAAATTTAAAAAAAGTAAAATCCCGGATCTTCTCCATATGTTAGAAGGAAGACGCCTTAATCCAACGATTAGTATAGATTACAATCACTCCCATAGAAAGGACACTTGGCTAGGATATATGGGGTGGGGGAGGGAGGAACTAAAGGACCACCACTTACGCGTTTTGTGCCTTCCGGTACCTCATCATGAAAGCTCCACGCCATCCTTTTTCAAGGATAGTAGGCAGCATGGATCTCACAAAGCCCTGAAGCATATCCATCATCACATAAGGGAATGCGGAGGGTACTAATTTATAGAACATCTTTATCCTAGGGAAGCGTGGAGTGCACAAGTTCTTCAGTTTTATCCTGTGTACATCAAGTAGAAAGCCACTCAAAGGTAGAACATATAATGTATTAGGGAGTTAGGAGTACAAAGGGCACTTCCTCTGGCAAAATTCATTAAAATCTTACTAGATTTTTAGAATTTGTTTTATTTAAAATAGAAGTATCGGAAGTGAATCAAAAACCATTGGATTGGCTGAGATTGTCAGTTTTGATGATCTCAGCCAAGGAGATGGATCTGGGGCGGGGCCAGCGCCGGCAGACCCACGAGGCACTGTAATAAAAGGTTTCACTATTTTTAAGGTTGATAAGAGGGGGGATTTCAACCTAGTGTTTTAACACTATAAGGTCAGGAATATTCCTGACCCTATAGTGTTCCTTTAAGGGTTCAGGAACATGGTAAACAGAGTGTCAGTAGTTAACTAACCCCAACACAAAATTAGTGAGAGTTACAGACCTGTTTGGCAACTAATTCATCTTTTGCCATTAATTCAGCTCAGAAATTGTGTGTGTATATATATATATATATATATATATATATAAAACAAGAGGGGGTTGGCTGCACTCACCTTAACATGCATAAATGGGGGTGCTGCTGGGGGCCAAATAATACAATACACAAGATCCAGCGCACTCACCTATCCACTAAACAGCAATCTTGTGTATTATATATATATATATATATATATATGTGTATTTATGTACATCTCCCTGGCACTTAAATGGTTAAGCCCATAGAGTGAAGTAAAAGGAAAAGGCAAAACTTGGAGAATGGTCTGATGCCCTCAGGGTGATCTTTAGTTGGCTTCTTATGAAAACATACAAAAAAAATGTTTAAAAAAAAAAAAAAAAAAAAAAAAAAAAAAGTAAAAAAAAAAAAAAGAAGAAGAAAAAAAAAAATAAGCCAGTCAGGTGCTGGAAAAGGATTGTGGGTAATGAAACGTCTCATGACTCACCAGCTAAATATAGAGAGCGATATAAACAGGGGGGAGGAGGGCAGCCACAAAACACACACAGCTATGCTGTCCCTTGTTATAATCACGCAATGCCTTCACCCCCTCCTATTATCTGTATTTTTCTCTCTCCCCCACCGTTTCTTAATTTTCCTCGCACTGACCCTATTCAACCCTTTTCTCGAGTATAGAGCATTGCTGCCAGGAGAGAAACACAGTTTGAGGGTAGATAAAGACCATTTGGGCCTTCTCGTCTGCTGGCTTTATTATTATTATTTTTTTCATGGGCGTTTTTATAATATCTAACTTAATTATTCATTAAACTCAGCTGGATCTGACTTTTTCATAAATCGATCGCTATTTTTCGTGGTATAGCTTGTTTTGTTTTATTTTGTTATTTTTAGCAGACAGACTCTCGGTGCTTGTAAAGAGAGCTTTAAGTACGTAAGTGTCAGAGCGATTATGTTTGCCTGCCACTATGTGTGTCAACCTGCTGGAGGAAGTAACACTACGGGCTTTATTCACTAAACAGTGAGACGTGGGGAAGCTGACACGAGAGCAAAAAAACCCCCCCAAAAAACGGAGACTGAAATTGAATCTGAAAAAAAAAAATCTTACTAGACCAAGATGAGTATTTTGTTTCCACAAACTCAGCAAATGTGGGTTATACACTGCAAATGGGTTGTCAGCACCAAAAAAAATAAAACAAAAAGAAGGTTATTCAGTAAAGTGCGAATATTTAGGAATTCATAATAAACAGAGACTATTAAAGCTCAACTGGAAACATAACTGACCATTCTCACTTGAGTGAATAACTCTGTCTGTTTACTAAACAAAGTACTATCAGACCTATTCACAAAATTGAAAACAGAAACATAGAAAGAACCGGGCTACAACGGATCCACCAATTATATCGAAACTGAGAAATTGTCCAATTTGAAGAACTCCAACAAGGAACTCACTTAACCCCTGCAGATTTTTTTAGATATGTCCAGATACAAGATTTCGCGAGAAGACCCCATATTAGAACTGCAGCCCAAGGTAAACTATCTTTTTACGAGAGATTATGCTTGGACGGAGCCGCACCCAAGGGCATGATCACTCTTCTATATGCTCATCTTAGTACTGAAAATAAAGAATGTGGTAGACTACCATACACCGATCAATGGGAGGCAGACCTGGGGGAGGTACTGGAAGGAATTCAATGGCAGGAGATATGGGAAGCGAACAAATATACTTCCATGTGTGTCACAATCCAGGAGCAGGCATGGAAAACCATGCTCAGATGGTACACTACTCCAGTAAAGCTATATAAAATGCACAAAATAGACACGGATGATTGTTGGGGGGGCTGCAGAACAAGAGGTACGTATATTCATATGTGGTGGGAATGCCCGAAGATACGCATTTTCTGGAAGTCAGTAGAGGAGTTACTGGAACAGATGTTCGACAGACCCCTAGTAATGGACCCGTGGATATATTTGCTAAACAGATTAATTGAGGGGTGGACAAAAAGAGAGCAGAAACTGGTACATAAGATAACTCTAAGTGCGCGCAGAGCGTTAGCAACTGCATGACTCTCACCTGAGGGCCCAGAGTTTCGGGGGGTGATATTCAGGATAAGAGAATGTAGAATCATGGACGACCTGACAGCAAGGGTGAAGGGGACGACAGCAGCATTCCAGAAACCTTGGGAACCATGGGATAACAGTATAGTGGAATCAAGTGGAGACTGACAGGGATCAGAAAGTGATTCGGACTTGGACTGGACACAGAGACCCTCCTTGGCGACGTAGAACTAGAGGGCCCGCTGGCACGAATATCTAATTTACCTCACATTAAAGGGACACTAGAGTCCCCAGAACCACTGTAGCTTCATGTAGTGGTTCTGGTGTCTATAGACTGTCTCTGTAGGCTTTTTAATGTAAACACACACTGTGTGCAGCACTGGCGTTCGTTCATATGGCAGATCATATGGGTTGGGCAATTTTTCTTTTGCCTAGGGCGGCAAAAATCCCTGCTAGGACTGCATAAACAAAGTGATTTAACTCCTAAATGGCAGAGAATTGAGCAGTGATACTGCAGGAGAATAATCTATAAACCAAAACTCCTTCAGTAAACTAAAGTTGTTTTGCTGCCTATAGTGTCCCTTTAATTGTCCTAACAGAGGTTTAATGTCATACATGTAGCTGAAACCTTAATTCAATGGGTTGAAGGTTAAATTCTATCGCGTTAAGGAGACCTCACTAAGCTAACAGTGCCCAAAGCATTTGATCTGAAGAATTGACAGTAAGATGGAGGACTACAGGTGTAATGTGTAAACAAAGCACACATTTTCTATCCAAATCCTAACTAAAATAAATAAATAAAAGAAACCGATATATTTCTTCATTATAATAATGAAGAAGTCTAAAAATGCAGCTGAGATTAAGAGTACCTAGTAGATGGATAGGACTTTTGATTTAAAGGGACACTATAGTCACCCAGACCACTTCAGCTCAATGAAGTGGCCTGGTGCCAGGTCCCTCAGGTTTTAACCCTTTGGATGCAAACATAGCAGTTTCAGAGAAACTGCTATGTTTACATTTGGGGTTAAGCCAGCCTCTAGTGGCTGCCTCCACCGAGCAGAGAGTCCATATGAAAGCATTGAGAAATTATTTCCTTTTGACAGTTTAAATGCGTGCGTGGCACTTGCCGCACATGCGCATTCGGCTCCGCTGACGTCGGCAGAGGGAGCTGGCGGGGGAGGAGAGGTCACCAGCGCCGCGGGAGCCTGGCGCTGGAATAAGGTAAGCTGCTGAAGGGGTTTTAACCTCTTCAACGCCACTGGAGGGGGACCCTGAGGGTGGGGGCACCCTCAGGGCACTATAGTGTCAGGGAAAACCGCTTTGTTTTCCTGACACTATAGTGATCCTTTAATTAATTCTCATGGGGTGATGCAATAGAAAGCCTTTGATTTTGGCCCAACCGGTTTACCTGTATCTGATGGGCATCTGTTTAGTTTATAATATTCTCCAAATATTCCAACAGTTGCCTTCTCTTTCTTTTCTATACAAATTTGTTCTGTATTTAACCATAGCCAAATTAGCCATAAGGTGTCCTTATACAGTTTCATTAGAGAGGGAGGCCTGGCACCATGAAAAGACGTGTCCTGATTCACCATTCCTGTGCTCTGAGTAAAGAGAGGGCCTCAAACTGCTAACTTGCCGAGGAGGACCCCATGGGAGCTTAATCCCTCTCTGTATGTCACCATAATTAGTCTGATGTTTTTAGTTTCTCGAGTCAATAAGAAGCATTGTCTCAGTATCCTCTTGAGAGGTATTCTTATATATCTGATCTCTACCCTGTCAGCTGGAGAAAGACATTTTCTCTTCCCCAGGAGTCCACTATCAGTTGCCAAAGGGAAAAAAAGGATGGGGGAGTTATGAGTGAATTTGCCTTCACATGCTCAATGTTTTCTTTTTTTTTTTTTTTTGACTGATATATTTCACCTTTTGACACACACACATACACATACACACACACCGTCTACCCGGTCATAAAATATTGTATTCAAAGAAAATGGAATCAGATTTCAGCAAAACAAGTTCTACAACTGCTTGCTCTTGACAGACGTTGAACCTTTTTTCCTAGTAGAAAAGAACACAGTATCACAAAAGTGTGCTCTGCTCGTGACACATTAACCCTTTATAGAAGACATTTCGAATTTTTTGCAAATGTCAAAATCATTCTTGATTTTTAAAAAAACATCATCTTACGTTTCCAGGACATAAATTGACAGCATACACGAAATTCAAATAAACATAATTTTTTGGTGTCTAGAGTGTTGCTTCAATGTCCTGGGGAGTGTGTTATACACCGTTACAAAATAGTAAACTTAAATATATACAAAATAAGTTAATTTATTCTGCAGTTGTATTATTTTATTCGTTTACCATTTTTCTTTTTGGATACAAAGAGGATGAAATCTTTATTGATGTTAAACTAGGGGAGAATGTTTTTTTGGAAAATTATGGTGTAGCACTACAGAAGGTACAGTACATCAACCATATTACTCTTTGTCATGTAGAATATCTAGTTAGGTGTTGAATAGGACAAATGCTAACATGAAGTGTGGAGCACGTCCTGCTAGGAGCTACCATTAGCTCTCTTGATCCAATGGCGGCAATCTATGGCACTCGAGGCGCCTTTGCACGTCATTCAAGGCTGCCAGAGACAAACAGGCTTTGGCCTACCAGGAGTCCCAGTGGGACTTGAGATATCTGCTAGTGCAAACCGAACGGTGATTGCAGGTGGTGAGGGACAACCCTCAATTTACGATTGTAGCACTTAGAGGAAGTAATCTGAGATCACTTCCTCCCCTCACTTGTGAACAGGAATCCGCACTGGAGTAGAACAGACCTCAGCAGCTCTTGCAGCTCCTACCCTTGATCTGCACCTTGCAAGCCTGGACCCCAGGAAAGCCACCCACCTGCTAGATATATATAGCTATAGAATAAGCCTCACCCTCATACTAATAATACAAACAGCCCACACACAGATCCACAAGCACAACGCCTCTTACAATCCACATTCACACACGCAACACCACAATCACCCTCTCATATGCAATAGAACAAGCAGCCCCACGCAAACACATACTACCAAACACACACTGTGATATGTCATCCAGACATACAATTCCACAAGTAGCCATTATACACAAATAGGTATCAGACACAATACCACAAACTACCCATGAACATATACAAAATAAGAGACCGTATACGCACAAATACAGTGCCGAAAAGCAACTGCAGCACCCATAAATAACACGAGCAAAATACGGAAACATACAAAAAACTAGGACTGGCATGTCGAGAGACTTCAAGATCTTGTTTTGGTACAGTACTACAGGAAGGTTGCCTACCCCTGATTCAAACCCTACAGTACAGGACAAGCTCACTGGATCAAAGCTTCCTTCTACAGAGAGACAGAAACAATCAACCGGTCCTTAGACTATAACTCTATTTGACTCCCGGCTGCCTTTCCCTTATAACTCAGGTATACTCACCTGTGTTCAGAAGGCATCAGGTACATGGTTTGTGGTGGGAGAGGCAAGAATGCAAGAGAGGCAACCCAGGACTACTACTAACCTGAATAGACTAGCCCTAATTAGGGAAGTTAATACGGCAAGCAGGAACGGATGCATTGTCCTTTTAATGGACAACTGTCAGCTCAAACATATTTTTGAATATGATAATCCTTTCATCAAGTTTTTAAAGCAAATAGATACTTCAACTATGGTGAAAAAAAGAAAAGAAAAAAAAAACTAATTCCTACGTTCAAGGGACATGTAGGCACCCAGACCACTTCAGCTCATTGAAGTGGTCTGGGTGCAACACCCCATGTCCCTTAACCCTGCAATAGTAATCATTGCAGTTATTCAGAAACTGCAATAATTACTATCCAGACATGAGGACCTCCAGCGTCAGATTTTTCCCCATAGGAAAGCATTGAATAATGCTTTCCTATGGAGAAATCCTAATGCGAGCGCAGCCAGGAGCAGGGGCGGAGTCTGACCGAGCGCCGAGGGACACTGGCGCTGGATTCAGGTAAGTGGCTAAAGGAGTTTTAACCCCTTCAGCATTGCGCAACTTTTAAACCTATAGTGCTAGGAAAACGGCTTTCTTTTCCTGGCACTATATGATCCCTTAAGTTAATTAACCCACAACCTTTCAAAAAAAAATCCCACAAAAGATCAAACTTTAGACATCATGAATAGGGAAGAACAAAAATGAAGGCACCCAGGTATTAAGAAAAGATAATGACTATAAAGAAAGGAAGGGAACAAAGAGGGGACTGTGAAAAAAATAAGTTAAAAAACACCACACATGACACATTGCCACTTTAGGTTTTCAGAAGCCCATTAGATCCCAACTTTTGTATACATACAGAACAAGCAAAAAAGCCAAACATTTCTGATTGAATGTTAGGGTCTTATGGTCCTATGTATTTATTATTGACAATGTTTTATTTAACTTTCCATGAAAGAAGAACACAGAACATTGTACTGCTATACACTTTACAAGTCAATGGGTTAATCTGATTGGTGCCAGTCGTTTAGCGAGACATGACACTTGGTATCATTAGGCATATCAATCATGCCAACAAAAACTTGGCTAATTTAAAGTGTATCCATTTTCCTTTTGAGTGATTTCACTCTGGTTGGAAACTTGTTTTGGCGTGACGGTTAAATTGCGGCTGTCAGTAAGTGGCGTTTGGACATAACTTTGAGGTAATACCATAAAAATACAGGCAGACTTTAGTAAAATCGATGTGATCATCAACATAAAAGTTTTTATCCCTACCCCAGTGCTTCTGCATAGGATAAACAAATAAATAAAAACTTATTGCGTGATACTGCAGTTGTACTCTGTATAAATACAATATTTTTGTGATACAAAAACGCAAAACAATTTTAAAGTTCAACATAGTTTTTAATATTAACACAAAATATACAAATATTTCACAAATTAAAATACAAGTATTAATAAATCCAACATAATAAACTACCGTAAACGATTATAACCAATGTACTATCTTTTTAATAATCTTGATTTTTATGTTTAAAGGAACATTATAGCGTTAGGAACACAAACCTGTATGCTATAGTGTTCTCCTCTGCATTTAGTTTATGTGCCCCCCCCTTAACCTAAATAAAAAAGTTTTACTTACCTTTTTTCCCCCCAGTGCTAATATTCAGTCCCTGCAGACGCTCATTCTGCCTCCTGCGATGTCACATTGACCCATCTCTCGTCCAATCAAATACTTCTAATAGAGGAACATTGCGGACGAAAAGCACATGCACAGCCAGCATTGTGCACCTCCAATCATATAGAGGTTAGGTGTGAGAATTAAGCTAGAAGGGCCTCTGTTGACTGTCAAGTAGACAGCCACTAAAGACGTAGCCAACCTTGCTATGTAAGCTTTTCTGTATCTACTAAAAGGCCATGTTTTACATTATAGGGTTAAAAGTAAAGGACCACTGCACCCAGACCACTTCATTGAGATGAAATGGTCTGGGTGGCTTTAACTGTACTGAATAATTGTATGAGTGTCTAGGAGATTGGGAGATTTCCTCCTGCAGTTAGATTGTATGAGAATGTTCTGAGATGGTTTTCTATGCTACTTGGCTAACAACGAGAGCTTGTATTGCCTCTGGCTCTTTAATGCCAGGCTCTAATGAGGTCCAGAGTACATTATACATCATCATGGGACTGCTGGCCCTGTGCAGTCAATGTCACATTCCCTATAGCTACATCCGAACCAATGCTGCATACTTGAAGGGACACTATAGGCACCCAGACCACTTCAGTTCATTGAAGTGGTCTAGGTGCAATGTCCGAAGACCCTTAACCCTGCAAGCGTTAAGTCCACCTCTAGTGGTTGTCTACCAGACAGACACTAGAGGTACTTCCGGGTCAGTAACTGACTCTAGACGTCCTCACGCTAAGGACATCCAGCATCACCCAAACCTCATAGGAAAGCATTACACAATACATTCCTATAGAGGAAGTCCTATTTGCGAGTGCGTCGTTCGCTACGCATGACCATTAGGTCCCCCATGCCGGCTAATTTTGGTCACCTAATTCACGATGGATGTCCTCACACTTTCCATTAACCCCTTCTGCAGTAACAGGGAGGGGGAGCGCGAGGGAGGGGGTCACTATAGTTTTTATGCCTTAATGGTGGTAGAGGGACAGAGAGCTGGCATTCACCTTAAATCATGTTAGGATGAGGCTAGGTGTGGTTTTTGATTTGGCTTCCTTATGGTCGACAATTAATTAAGGCTTCGATGCAATATTTTTGGCTAAGCGTTTCATATGATTTAAATATTCTTGGATAAATGTTTAAAAGTTATTTAATGTTTTGAAAATGTTTTTAAGAGTTTGCTTGTTTTATATGCTATATTTTGTTTATATTGCATATTTTTAAAAAATAATTCTAAACGTTTAATTAAAATTGATTATTAAATCATTTGAAAAGCTTAGCCAAAATAATTAAATCAAGGCCTTTGTATGTTATATTATAAATAGCAATAAATACACATGAATTATACTTACAAACAGTTAAATATTCTATATACCCATTTCTGCATTGTCTTTCTTTAAAGTGAACTTCAAGTATGATGTAAAACTGATCTGCTTTGAGTTTGATTAGGAGAAAATAAATTGCAAATCAGTTCCTACTACGATTGACATTAAAGGGTTACTCCAAACACCATGACCACATCAGTGGATATAAAGTTGTCAAGGTGCCTGGAGTCCATGTAATGCACTATGTAATGCTGCACAGTGATTAGCCCCATAGCTACCACCACCTCCGGGAGCGCAATAGGGGTGTCCGGGCTGGCTAATGTCAATTCTGTGCAGCTTGCCAGTAATTGGCTGAGAGCGGTCAATTTACGCTCTTAGCCAATAAATGTCAATCGTTGCGGCTTCTAGCTTCGGCAGAGCCTGGAAGCGCATAACTGTACCACAAGGGAGTATTGGAGCTCAGTGGAGACCCAGGTAAGTGAGCAAACCATTGCAAAATGGTTTGCCCCATTAACGGGGAACTGAGACAGGATATTCATGGCATCATTACCACTACAGCGGGCTTTAGTGGTTATGATTCTTGGACTAACCCTTTAATCTAGAATTGTAGCAATCTTCGCAGAAAGTAGACTTTTGTCTAACATTGACAATCTGAAAGATAAAGAAAAATATAACTTACAAAGGCATGAAGTTTAAAGTAAATTGTCTACAATTTAATTATTTGTATATACATTTAACATGCTGGCATTTTGGAAATTGTGAATTTGAATTTTGCAATGGTTACTCATTCAATGTAACGGACATATTGCTCATTATAACAATAATTTAAATCAGACAATTTTATAGATAACTTCTGCTGCAAATGTTTATTTAAAAAGCTATATAGTAACTTTAAGAATATAACAGTATAACAGAACATATATAGTTCTACTAAGTGGTCAACATTCTCAGGAAGGGAGAATGTATGATACAAGAAAGTCAAGCTGATGGGTAAAGGAACGCACACATTTCAGCCATTAGCACCCCAAGTGGGCTTTAAAGGGACACTATAGTCACCAAAAAAACTTTGGCTTAATGACGCAGTTTTAGTGTATAGATCATAATCCTGCAGTCTCACTGCTCAATTCTCTGGAATTTAGGAGTTACATCCCTTTTGTTTCTGTCCATGCAGCCCTAGCCACACCTCCCCTGGCTGTGACTCACATTCCATGGATAAAAGAAAAAAATGACTGCTCTCTAAATTGAACTTTAATCATACACAGGAGGCTTCTGTAGGGTCTAGCAAGCTATCAACAGTGCAGGGGATAATACATTTTAAATTAAATAGAATTTGCAATGACGGAAGTATAAACATTAGCTGACTATTTACAGGAAGTGTTTAGGAAGGCTGTGCAAGTCAAATGCAGGGAGGTGTGACTAGGGTGCATAAACAAAGTAATTTAACTCCTAAATGCCAGAAAATTGAGCAGTGACATTGCAGGGAAATGATCTATACACCAAAACTGCTTCAATAAGTTAAAGTTTTTTTGGTGACTATAGTGACCCTTTAAGCAGCTATAGAACTTCCTGCTTATCTACTAGTCTTATAGTACTAAATAGTAACATTTACCAATAGGTAAAAAGTCCAGAAATGGAAAATGTACAAGTAGCTGCCAGGACATGACACCACAGACACATGGTCACATTTCCCCTCAAGAGGAGATCACTAGGAGTGGAAAGAAAAACACATTTTCTCATGTGAACATTTACTCTTCAATCTTAATGTATAACCTGTTTTTTTAAGAACATTCACAGAAACATTTAGTCTTGCCTCCTGAAAGAAGGTGATACCACTACTGCCACAGAGAGGTCACCAAATGCAAGTGTGGTTCTTCACTAAACGCAAAAAAAATTCGCACTAATTCTGGTGTTGGTACTTATTTATACCCATTCAAATTTAAGGTTGCTGCCTAATAATGGTTAATACAATTCGGTCGAGTACAAGATAGTAGATACAGAACAGTTTTAGACAAACACATCATCACAAACTGATCATTTTATTTTAATGTAACAGTCTGTAGGCAGCAGAACATCACAGGTCTGGGAGAGTGGAGACAGAACCAGGATAGCGATGGAGAGAACAGTCCTACCTGTGGGGTTAGCCTCACTGCCTCTTACCCAGAGATGGTTCTTCAAAGCTCTCTATGAGCAGGATTTTCACAAATTGACAGAACAACTATCGCAGGTGATCCACTGGTGCTCTACAAGTTCTGAAAGGTTGTGTGTACAGTTGGCTAAGGACTCAACAGAAAGACACCTATCCACAGTAGATCCTACACTTAACATCATCTATCACCAATGCAACCATGGAGGTCTGTGTCACGGTTCTCCCTGTGCCATCCAGACGGCTAGACGTTGCCACCCAACAGGTGTTGGTTAGTGTTCCTGCCAAGCCCCCGTGCACAGATTCACAGCCCAGGTGGTTTCTTACCTGGTTACTGTGGGCTGTGATTATCTGCAATCATGTGTGCTATGGTCGTTAGTGGGAGTATGAGCGCAAGACTTGTTTTTCTGTATTTGTATTCACTTTTGTACCACACAGCTATGTTACAATGCTGCCACCCATCCCATGTGTTCCAATAAGCATGTAAGGGTGTATATAAAAAATACCCCTCTCTGTCTCATTAGAGATATCTTTGCCAGAAGCTTAAGAAAGCAAGGTGAATGGTTAGTGTAGGTGCCACCTAAGAGGTTTTTTGTATTTGTACACACCTTTGATGCCTGTGTAACTCCACCCTCGCTTCTTAAACCCCTTTACCCCACCTTATTGTTAATTTTGTTTTTCTAAGAGTCTTCTGGGATATTGAGATTAGAGTAATGTCCGGGCCAGCTAGTGAGGATCAGCATTTACTACTGAGGTTGCCAGGCCTGCAAGTTTACAATATGGCAATATGACAACTAGCCAAGTTTGACTGTTATATATGGAAACTGCATATCCAATTTCCATTATCACTGTAAAATGCTATTCAGTTCTGTGATACCAATCTATACCTGCATTTGTGGACCTCCGTGTCCAATGGTGTACCTTTTATAGCCATGTTGTTACTTGAATCGAATGACAATAAAGCATTATATTCACAAGAATAAAAACAACAGGTTTCCTACCGCACATCACAAAATACAATGTTAATGCAAATTATTATTACAGAAAGTGTGTCCTTCCTACCTGCAATGTGTAAGCTCCATATATTGTGTGTCCACTCGTTGTTTCCTCGGCAGCAGTAGTAAAGCATCTCAAAACTTCAGGGTCTTGCTTCTATGTTCCAGTCCATCTCACTCTTCTTCCACTTGACCAAGAGTTTGAAGTCCTTGTATAAGTTTTCATATATCATAACAAATCATTAAAATGTCCCCAAACAGTGGTAAGTTGCACTTGCTGCTTGGCTGGATCATTTCTCTTTTGCGATTTATGCATTTAAAAGGGAACACTATAGGCACCAAAATGAACTTTAGTTAATGAAGCAGTTTTGGTGTACAGATCATACCCCTGCAGTCTCACTGCTCAATTCTCTGCCATTTAGGAGTTAAATAACTTTGTTTATACAGCCCTAGTCACGCCTCCCTGCATGTGACATGCACAGCCTTCCTAAACACTTCCTGCAAAGAGTTTTATAATGTTTACACTTCCTTTATTGCACGTTCTGTTTAATTCAGCATTTCTCGTCTCCTGCTCTGTTAATAGCTTGCTAGACCCCGCAGGAACCTCATATTTGTTATTAAAGTTATTAAAGAAAATAAAAACCTTTTTTGTCATGCAGGCAGTATGAGTCACAGCCAGGGGAGGTTTGGCTGGGGCTGCACAGACAGAAAGAAAAGTGATTGAACTCCTAAATGGCAACGAATTGAGCAGTAAAACTTCAGAGGCATGATCTATATACAAAAACTGCTTAATTTAGCTTAAGTTGTTTTGGTGACTATAGTGTCCCTTTAATACTCTTTAATGAATGAGTTCTTAAGAGATTTTTTTTATTTTTGAGTTTTAACCATTCCTCTTGTTTTAGCTTCTTATGGTTTAAAATATATGCTTTTATTCCTGATATCCTAAGCAAATGAATCTTCTTCCCAGGATTACTTGCACATGCTTTGCAAGTGTAAATGAGAATAAGATTCCCAGAGTACATATGCATGACCTGCCTTACACACAGCAACTACCATGGATTAAAAAATTCCATGAAAATATTTAAATGAGAACACTGGGATTTACATACTGGAATTCTGGAAATGCTATAATTGATATAGGACACAATAATTGTGTGGGGCAGGATTTACGTTTAGTTTAAATAATGTTGTACAATTAAAGATTTACTTAAAAAAAAAAAAGGGTAATTTTTGCTACGCAACATTTCTCACAATTTTAGAATTTACTTTTTTGTAGTGTTGTACTTGTTCCACTGTAGCACTTTCGCCTTAAAAATAACGTTGGTAGTTATTGGCAATACATTGCGTACCACAATGTGTTTTTTACCTTTTGTAAATGATGTCTGTGAAACTGATCTCCGATGCATTGTAGTTTGCGTCCAATTCGACGCTCTGTGCTCTGTTCCTGCCTCCTGTAAGCCAAATGGTCTCCAAGCGAGTACGTAGGATGCTGTAATATGAACCCAGCATTTCCTGCAAGACACAAATATTGGCCCCATTGTATTATTCCAGCTTTTACTACATAATATTTAGGACAAAGCTCATGTTCATTTTTGGAGCATTTAATAGGTTTTTATATTGTCTACTTACCCACTATAGTGAACAAAAATGTGTTTGAGAGATCAATAAAAATTAAATGCAAAGATTCTCACCACAGTATTTTCAGAACCATTACAAACAATTAGACCTCTTCATCTCAGTGAGACACTTTCATCTCCATAACTGAGTAAAACTATGTCCTGCAATCATACTCTGCAGATAAAATTTGTTTGGAGGAGCACGGTGTTTGACTGCATGCGCACTCTCCAATCCAATGATTCTCTGTGAGAAGCACTTGATGACGAAATTGTGGGTGACGTCAGCATGTTTGCTGACATCACCGAAGGGGGAGCTGGAGGCTCCAACGAAGGAGTCCTGCCACTCGAAACGTGGTGGGTAATATTTAGATTACTTTTTACAGGACAAAATGGGGATGGACACTGTGCACATTGCAAGAAGGGAGACTATTGTCCCAAAATAACGATTGTTATTTTCAGAACCATAGGATCCCTTTAAAAAAATTTTTTGAACTGACCGAGTGCCAATCATTGTTATAAGCTCTTCCATTTAGATTTAGACAGTCAGGACAGAAAGAGCACAAAAAAGAAGGACAAGCAGAAACAATTCTTCAGCTTCTGCTCCTTCAAAGCAATGTGTGCCTTACTGTGCCAGGATCGAACTGCATTGTTACGTCAAATGCTACATATTTACAATATACATTTTAAAAGAAAACAGAGCATTGTGACATGTTTTATTTCAGAAACAAGAGCAGTGCATTACTAAAACAACATGTGTCGTCTTGACTTTGGCTAAAGGATCTTGTCCATTATAAAAATGCCTGCTTATTGTGGCTGAATCACCCACCATGCCAGTAGTCTGACCGCCATATTGAGTTTTCTCATTATTATGTCTCAATACAAAGGGGTTTTCATTAGAGGTTTCTCTAGGTTTTTGTTAAACTGATTGAAAATATCACTACAATAGGCTGTAGTGGTTATGGTGTATATAGGGTTCCTTTAAAAGACGGTAAAGTTGGGTAGCTCTACACAAAGCTTTTTCACAGCTGAGCAGTGAAGAGTGTACTATATTATTTTAACATATTTTGGCAGTGATGTTTGCCCTGTGTTCTAGAAGCTACATCTCAAATAATCACTGAGGCCCCAAGCCAACGTACCTAATTAAAGCCACATTATTTTCCATTTTAGTTTATAGTCATACAGCAGATATCTTTTTTGATTACGGTAATTTTGTTGGCGTTTTTAGTGTAATCTGCAGAAGGCTGGTGTCCAGAATGGGCAATCATTGTTCAAAAGGTTTATTGGGGTGTTAAATGTCATTTTATCAGACGTTTAAATTCTGATTCCCTTTAATGGGTTATGCTGACGTGTTATGCCAGTTACGAGTGCACAGACACAGACTGCAAGAAACATGCAACATTTAGGGCTTGACACAATTTATCAACAAGTTAAGAAAATATCCCAGACTCCAAATCCCTTGGGTCATATCAGCTGCAATTCATCAACTTCAAATCTCAAATTTAGACACTGGTTAACTTAACAAGGAAGGACAAAAACCAAAGTTGACAAAAACAAAAATGCTACTTCAGCTTGGTTGCTCATAAGCTGCTGCAAGGCAACTCATAAACCATTCCAGATTTGACTTTACAGGAAAAATAAAATAAAAGAAGAGTTATTTTTAAAGGGACACAATAGTCGCCAAAACTACTACAGCTTAATGTATTAGTTCTGGTGAGTATATTCATTCCCTGCAGGTATTTCATGTAAACACTGTACTTTTCAGAGAAAAGGCAGTGTTAACATTGCCCCCTAGGGACACTTCCAATGGCCACTCCTCACTGGAGGTGCTTCCTAGAGCAGTGCTGCACAGACTACAGCACTGCCGTTGAGCATCCCCATGCTCTGCATTGTGAAGCTGAATTTTTCTCAAAGAGATGCATTGATGCAATACATCTCTATGAGGAGGTGCTGATTGGCCAAGTTGGCATTTGGTCCAGTTCTCGTCCTGGCTCCTTGTCGATTTCAGCCAATCCAATGTTTTCCATAGGGGGGGGCAAGCCACCTAAATTGTGGTTTTAACACTATAGGGTCAGGAATACATGTTTGTATTCCTGACCTTATAGTGTTCCTTTAAGTGTACTATTTGTATTTATAGAACACCTGAATATTCACTGGGTTTGGTAACATGTAGCACTGGCAAATTACTTTGTTATGGGTGTGATGGGGTTATTTTTTGTGACTTTTATTAAGGTTAATCTTTTTTTATCCAGTCATTTGCAGAGTTATGTTGAAAAAGAATGCACTGTGTTCAGGCACCTATGGATTGTGAACTGAGCCTCTAAACTTAGGCACCAATTCAGCACTACTTGATGGGGATCAACTTGTTGCAAGTACCAAGAACCTCAAAGAATGAATCCATTATGTGGAGGTATAATATGTTATTTAACCTTACATACCTGCTAACAGAGAGGTGGATGTATACATAGAGATTTCAGCATAGGGTGTATGCATACCTTGTTGTGACTCCTGGCCACCTCAACGGTTTGTCTGCGGCCCATGTGGACTTTTTACCATCCCCACCACTATCTTATTTTTGTTCCCACTATACATCATCTCCTTTGTGACTTCTATACAACGTTTTCACTAAAAATTAAATTACCTCTTATTATATATTATATATGTTCCAGTTTATTAGGTGCCAAAGTTTTAAGCAACCATTTATCAAACTGCAGGCTCCCCTTTATCCTTTTAGGCATTATCTATATTTCACTCCAACCACCAGAGGGTTTACTGGGACGTTATCTACATAGTTCTACAGAGTTTATTTTTATTAAGTAAAATTAATAAAGCACATAAGCAATTTCTTGGATAGCTTTTCTTTGTCCTCCACTAGCATCCCGGGGGATGGAGAAGCCCATAGGGCCTTGGACCCTAAAAGGTACCTTCAGAAAACAGTATCCCAAGGGTTCATTGGGATATAATGTCCTTGGAGGCTAGGGAGTAGTGCACTAGGTTTCGACTGAGTAAAAAAATGCCTGATTCTTACCATAGAAAAGTCTCTGTGGACATTCTGTGACCCCGCAAGGCAACATGGTGTCAATGCTAACAGATGGTGGCCCAAGTGTCTGTGTGGCCTTATCTTCATAGTCTGTGTTCCTACATCCTGGTCCACAGCAATGAGACAGTGGGAAAATCTGGAACCTCCCAAGGAGACAAGTGTAGGTCTGGCTCTGCGTGAATGCTGAAGGTGGGGTCAAAGGTGGGATCAGGAAATCACAGTCATCAGGGTAAAACACGTCATCGTCCAGCTCATCTGAATTTGGATAGCTCTCGTGATCCATCCTAACAGGTCAAAAAGCATAGGTTAGAACACCTATCACACAATACATACTCATAGTTGAAATTGTAGAATTCAAGAACTGTTATGATCATCTTTCAATAAGCATGTCCATAGTCCCTGATAATCAGCACTGTATTTGCTGTGAGGCAAACAAGGCATTTGCCTTGGGTGGCAATTTCCAGGGGCGGCGGCGAGGGACGTCATATTCTGGCTCCCGGCATCACTCTGCGGCGCACGGATCTCAACTGACCGCCAGCAGCCCCACTGGACCCAAATTTAGGGAGGCTGAGTGGATTTAAATTAAAATAAAAAATAATCTGTGAGTGTTGGGGGGCAGGGGGAGAAATTAGTGTGTGTATGTATGTCTGTTAGTGTGTGTGTGTGTGTGTGTGTATGTCAGTGTGTGTGTCTGTGTGTCTGGCTGTCAGTGAGTCTGTGTGTATGTCTGTGAGTGAATGTCTGTCAGTGTGTGTCTGAGTGATTGTGTCTGTCTGTGAGTGTGTGTATGTCTATCAGTGTGTGTCTGTAAGGGAGCCTGTGTGTCTGTGAGTGAGTGTGTGTGTCAGTGAATGTGTGTTTGTGTCTGAGTGATTGTATGTGTCTGTGAGTGTGTGTGTGTGTGTGTCTGTGAGGGAGTCTGTGTGTCTGAGTGATTGTGTGTGTCTGTGAGTGAATGAGTGTGTGTGTCTGTCAGTGAATGTGTATGTGTGTGTGTGTGTCTGAGTAATTGTGTATGTCTGCGGGTGGGTGTGTGTCTGTCAGTAAGTGAGTGTGTGTCTGCGTCATTGTGTGTGTGTCAGTGAGTGTGTGTGTCTGTCAGATTGTGTCAAATCAGTGAGTGTGTATGGCAGTGTATCTGAGAGTATGCTTCGGTCAGTCAAAGTGTGTGTTAGTCTTTAACAGGAAGAGGTGTGGCCTCGATGGGAAGGGGTGGGGCAAATGTAAATTATGGGGTGCCCGAGTTCCGTCATGCCTAGGGCAGCACAGATTCAAAATACACCACTACTGATAATGTGTGAATTTAAATAAAGTACCAACAATGTATATTTAGGTCATTCAAATTATTTGAGAGGTTTTGGATCATTATAATTCATATACTTCAAGGGGCATTGTAGTCACCAAAACAGATTTAGCTTAATCAAGCAATTTTGGTGTATAGCTCATACAAGTCTCACTGCTCAATTCACTGCCATTGAGAAGTTAAACCACTTTCTTTATGCAGTCCTAGTCACGCCTGCATGCAACATGCATTGCCTTCCTAAACACTTCCTGTAAAGTGAGATCTAATGTTTACACTTCCTTTATGTGTAGACCTTGTGGTTAAATTTAAAGAGCAGGAGATAAAAACTTCTAAAGCTAGTTGGTGACATCTTTCATCTCCCCAGCCAGTTCTTGGCATGTGAATATTACTGTCCAGTGGGCAATGGCCCATCCATACCTGAGCATGGATGAGATAGAATTGTCCTTATTTGACTTATGTATATTCTTTAAAATTGCATTGTACATGCACTCTCGTAAAGATTCTGGTTTCTCCATGGGATACTCAGAAGTAACAGGATCATTTTAATGTCCTTGGTATAGACCCAATTATAGAAAGATTCTAAGCCAACAATTTTTCAGTGTTATACATTTGATTTATTATTGGACAATTTGAAACACACAACAAAATTCCTGCCAGTAATTAATAGAAGTCAAGTTGATGCCCCACGGTAGGCTTAGAGCACTATAAATGTACAATACTTTAATTTCCAGTTACATGAATAATTTCTATATACTGTCCCTTAAACAAACTACAAGGTTTGAACATGAGTGGAGATCTATAATACATCGATACACCCCAAGCCAAAATCAGAATTGTAGCTTTTCACAGTCTAGACAAATATAAGTGAAGCAAGGACTGAACAGGAAACAGTCTTCTGACCAGCCATAATTACAGGAAGGAGTTTGCAACCAGATTTCCAAGTAGAGTTTCCCCTCTAGAGGCTTAAAATTATTACTTGAGACAAATTATATAATTTTAAGTCCACAATTGTTCTATTATAGTCCATTAAAGAAGACATATTAGGTTATCTAAAATGTAGATTTATCCCTTCATGCTCCTTTTAGACAGCCTGTTTACAAGAACGTTTAATAAATGTGTATTTGTACAATGGAACAATAGAGAGCAGGGCCGGCCAAAGGTAAATCCCCAAATGTAGTAGCACAAGATGTCCCATGATGCTTTGTGATACTAAAAGGGTTATTCACTTACGTGAGAACTTAAAGTGAATTTAAAAATTCAAAATGGAAGATCTGGAAACATTCCCTAAGTCAGCTATGCTTGCCATTTAGCCTTAAATTTGAAATTCACTTTGAATTCGACATGAATTCTCACTTCCGTGAATAACTCTGTAAGTCTAGCATAGCATCATGGATGCAGTAGTTCTGCAAGGGGATGTCCCCTTTGTATCTTCTGGTGATGCGTATCTGCTCTCAGAGTTCCAGGATGATTAATTTGGATTTCAACCAAGTTTGGACGTTCCCCCATTTCCTGTGATGAGAAATGAAAAATCTAATCTGTGTCATTATTCATAGGTTTCTAGATGTGTATTTGGTAGTTATGTAACTTATAAAGCCTAGTTAACGAATATCTATTTTTATTACAGTGAACTATTATCTGAACTTGTTTACCTTTATTTAAAATTATCTATATGTATACATTCATGAGTTTATGGTCTGCTGTGTATATTGGGCCCTGAACCTCTGTACATCTCAATTTACTCTAGATCTGAGTAACGTTTAAAGTGGTTTATCTTCTCAGCTATTGTGAATTGTACCTTTGTTCAATTATGAAAATTTCATTCAGTGAATATCACGAACCTAAGGTCCCCAAACTCCTCCAGTTACATGTCACGAATAAAGGGCAGGTGTACCAACCAAACCAGGTGGTTAAGTAAATAACTTGTGAGTTTGTTGTGCTGTTGTCAAGATTACTTACCTGATGACATCCTCCTGTAACCAGGATGGCACAACAGGCATTGCTCGTTCCCATGCCATCTCTTCCAAGAGCTGGTCCACCTTACTCCAAATTGGCTGCACTCAAATAAAGATCAATATGCACAGATGCTTTTTTTGGTGAAGCCCAATTGATGCCAAGTACATTTTTACATAAATACAGAAAAAGCAGGAACTCATTTCCCTTTCTTGGTTCTTACAGCCAAATAGTGCAACTGTGATTTCAGCTAATGTGATCTGGGTCATCTTCTACCACCATAATACTTGGCTCAGCTATCCACAATCGAAAATTTCTAGTACCCTGGTCCTTGGATTAGTTGTCAAAGTAAGTGAATTTCTGGTTCCCTGACTATCAGCTTAGTAATCCAGATATTTGATGTTCTCGTGTTCTGACCTTTGGTTAGCAATGGTGTGTTTCATGCTTAACCTCCTTGGAGGTCTTTTGCTCAGCCATTCTAAAAACCTATTCTTCCATTCTGTTTCTGGGTACATTAGAGGGCTGTTTGAATGTATGCCATGTGACAACACAAAGGGTTTGCATCTTTCTACCTACATTATGGACAGACACGCAGGCATCTGTGCTGTGTGTATGCACACTGACAGCTCAACATCTGAAAAAGAAGACAGACTTGGACGGTGGGTGCCGTATGCAATGACTGCCATACAAAATCTTGGACAGCACAATGGGGGCCTTGCTGTCTAAGGTTTGTGGGAAGTCCAGTGGATCTTAGGGGCAGTAAGTCAACATAACCATTAAAAAAGATTAATGATTTGGTGTCAAATTCTTAGCACCATGACCACCGCAATTCACTGTAGTGGTTAATATGTTTGGAGTTTCCTTTTAAAAATGCTCAGCAGAAAAAAAGCAATCAGGGCTGTGAATTGCCCTAAGCGGTACCCAGTTTTTGCAAATCTGTAACTCAGTGGCCATTAGATAAACCACATAACTACAGTGTTATGAATCTGCTATTTATTTAGAAGAAAGGAAACCAACATTTCCAAGGACATTAATCCATTTAAACATGTTATTGACCAGTTCAAGACAGAAAGGATTTGTATAAGAGTCTTTATAACAACAACAGCCTGCATTGTGCAGTGAGAAACTAAAAACGAGTAGTTGCCGGAAGGATTATTTTATTTTCTTAACTGATTCATTGCTGGAGTGATTAGGAAAGAGTGCTTAAAGGGAACACTCTACAACACAAACATTGTGTTAGGTGATGGATGTAGGCTATGGAGAGTCTTAAAGTCACTTTCTTGACCAAGGGGATAGCATTTAGATCAGGGGTGCCCAAAAGGTAAGTCCCAAGATATTGTAGAACTACAATTCCCATGATGCTTTTGAATGCCTTTGGAATGCCTTTAGAATTGCAAAGCTGCATGGAAGCTGTGGTTTTAGAACATCTGGGGATCTACCTTTGGGCACCCCTGATTTAGGGTCATTGTTTAGAACATCATAAACCAGAGTTCTTAATGCTGCGGTTATGCAGAGTGAGATGAGAAGATCTGCCCTTGCATAGATTGCCAGAAAACAGACAGACACAATAAGGCAGGAAAGTGAGACTAGGCTCATGTTTATGTAACTAATATTTACCACTACAATAGACTATCTGGTGTCAGGGGAATTTTCAACAATGCCTGAATTACCAAAAGTAAGCCAAGTCCAGTTTGGAATAAGAAAAAACAAAGTAAAATAGAAAAAAAATGATGGGGGGAAACCCAAGCGAAAAATAAGAAGGATAAGTGGTTTGGGCACATTGTGATTGGAACTTAGAATTTATGGATGTAGAAAAGGGAGATTTATAGGATTGAGAAGATGTGTAAAAAAGTAGGTTGAAGAGGGGGTACAAAATGCATGATTGTCCACATCCGCAACGGAACACACCAGGGATGCCCCCTATCCCCCCTGCTCTTTGCACTAATCCTAGAGCCATTCCTTAATAACATCAGAGGCAACGAGGCGATCCGCGGACTCAGTATAGGCCGATCACAACACAAAGTCCTGGCATATGCAGATGACCTTCTCTTCATTGTAAAACATCCGGCCACGACGCTGCACACGATCATAACTGAATTCGAGACCTACGGCAACGTCTCCAACTTAAGCATAAACTACACCAAATCAGAAATCTTGAATCTCAATGTTAGACACACCCAAACGCAGACGCTCAGATGCTGCTTTCCCTTCTGCTGGTGCACCACCAAGATGCGGTACCGAGGGGTATGGCTCACACCGAACCCGGCGGACCTATAACATCACAACTTCCTACCACTTCTCAAGACCGCGCAGGCAGGGCCGGCCTTAGGGGTGTGCGAGCTGTGCGACCGCACAGGGCGCCATGGAACAGGGGGCGCCCTGTGGCCGACACAGCTCACTCATGGCCGGAGTGCAGGGGAGCTAAAAGAGGTACCTGGCTGGAGGATTAATTGTTCTCCACCCGGGTCTATTTAAAAAAAAAAAAAAAAAAATCGCGGCAGAGGGGGCGGGGTTTACCGAGCGGCGGAGGCGGGGCTTATCGAGAGGCGGAGACGGGGCTAATACCTCCCGAAGCCCCTGCTGTACAGGAAGAGGGAAAGATGCTTCCCCATCAGCCAACTGCATCCACTGGAAAGAGGTAAGTGTGTGTGTGTGACTGTTTGCCTGTTTGTGTGACTGTCTGTCTGTGTGTGTGTGTGACTGTCTGTCTGTGTGACTGCCTGCCTGTGTGCGTGTGACTGTCTGTGTGTGTGTGTGTGTGTGACTGTCTGTGTGACTGCCTGTCCTTGTGTGTGTGTGTGTGTGTGACTGTCTGTCTCTGTGTGTGTGTGTGACTGTCTCTGTGTGTGACTGCCTGCCTGTGTGTGACTGTCTGTGTGTGTGACTGTCTGTCTGTGTGACTGCCCATGTATGTGACTGCCTGTGTGTGTGACTGTCTGTGTGACTGTCTGTCTGTGTGACTGCCCGTGTGTGTGACTGCCCGTGTGTGTGACTGCCCGTGTGTGTGACTGCCTGTGTGTGTGACTGTCTGTCTGTGTGACTGTCTGTGTGTGTGACTGCCTGTGTGTGTGACTGCCTGTACTGCCTGCCTGCCTGTGTGTGTCTGTCTGTAACTATCTGTCTGTGTGTGACTGCCTGCCTGTGTGTGTGACTTTCTATCTGTGTGACTGCCTGCCTGTGTGTGTATAACTGTCTATGTGTGTGTTACTGTGTGTCTGTCTGTGTGTGTGACTGCCTATGTGACTGTCTGTCTGTGTGTGTCGCTGTAGCTGTGCCATTGTTTGGGCCTGTGCCTGTATGTGTGACTGCCTTTAACTGAGTGTGTGTGTACATGCCTGTAACCGAGTTTAAATTTCCCCCACCCCTTCCTGTCAAGGCCGCACTTTGACTGACAGACGCTCACTCACTGACAGACGCACACTCACTGACGACACATACACACTCACTGACGACACATACACACTCACTGACTGACACATACACACTCACTGACTGACACATATACACTCACTGACCAACACACACATTCACTCACAGACACACACACATTCACTTACAGACACACACAATTACACACTTACAGACACACACACACACACACACACACACACATTCACTTCAAAATAAACACTCACAGACACACACACAGACATTTCCACTAACACTCACAAACTAATATTTTTTACATTTATTTTAAATCCACCCAGCCTCCCTGGGAAAGCTGGAGTGGATTTCTTACCAGCAGTCCAGTGTGGCTGCTGGGCAGGCAGGCAGGGGGCGCACAGGCTGAGTAAGCAGCGCTTAGTGATGCCGGGAGCCGGACTGACGTCATATTCTGGCTCCCGGCTTCATTAAGCGGCGCAGAGGAAGCTGAGCAGGAAGAGCTCAGGTGAGTATGCTCCTTCGCTGCCCGCTGCCAGCCTTGGGGGGGCTCAAAAGTGGCCAGCCGGTCAGCTCTTGAGCCCCCCAGGATGCGAGGCAAGCAAGGGATCTGCCTGGGGGTTTGGAGGGATGCTTTTTTTTGCCGCCCCCTGCAAAGTGGCGCCCAAGGCAGATGCCTTGTTTGCCTCGTGATACACACGTCCCCGGTGCCTGTGTGTGTTACTGTATTCAGGCAACTTGGTGGGAGGTGGGGGGGGGCGCCGTGAAGACTTTTTGCACAGGGCGCCTAATTGCCTAAGGCCGGCCCTGCGCGCAGGCTGAACTTCAAGTCTGGAACACCTATTACATATCATGGCTAGGCCACATCAACGTGGTGAAGATGACCCTACTCCCTAAATTCTTATTCGTCTTCCAAACAATACCTGTTGCAGTGCCGAAGAGCTTTTTTACATCCTTTCAAGCGGCTGTCCGTCACTTCATATGGAAGGGCAAGTCCCCCCGAATAGCCCACTCCCAACTGACACTCCCTAAACTCAAAGGGTGACTGGCTCTTCCCGAATTCAGGAAGTACTACATTGCAACCCACCTCACCAGAATCATCGGTTGGTCGACAACACCAAGAGACAAACTATGGGTTCAACTAGAAGCAGATAGCTCTGATTGCGACCTTAGAGCCCTGCCGTGGCTCACACAAGAAGCTAGCCGTTGCACCCAACACGCAAATCCATTTGTGAAAGCCACCCTCCGCATCTGGCATCAAAACGGCCCCAAATACTATCTTACTACCAACCCGAGCCCTCTACTCCCCCTCAGGGGAAACCCTGATTTCCCGGCAGGAGACATGGGCCCCACCCTGAGATTGAGGACCAACATCGCAATACCCTGAATGATGGACATACTCACACCCCCTTGCACAATAAAGCCAATTGCAGACCTGTTTCCAGACCAAAGGCACACCTTCCTACACACTATAGCAAGGGAACAACTACAGCGATATGCACGCTCGATCCCCTTCTTGCACCACCGTGCAGCAGGCGCTGGGAATAAGACCTGGACGTAACACTCACGGACGCAGACTGGGATAAAATCATTACACTCACCCAGAAGACCCCAGGATCAGCAAGGCTCCAAGAAAATTCGTATAAAGTATTTACAAGATGGTACATCACCCCAGAGGACCTACATGCTAGGAACAGCTCGAAACCAAACACGTGCTGGTGATGTAGAATGGAGACTTGGTCATTTCTCCACCTATGGTGGGACTGCTCCCTCATCCGGCTGTTTTGGGAGACATTGGGTCGAGTGATCAACGAAACTACAGACAAAAACATCCCGATGACACCAGCACCTTTTCTACTACACTATAGAACAATACCCGCGCCAGCATATAAACGATCAGTGATACTGAGGCTCCTCAATGCAGCGAAAGCAACAGTCCCAATCTTCTGGAGGCAACCACGCACCCCCTCACTCAGGCGTTGGGTGGAGGAGGTGGAAGACACCTGGAAATTCGAGGACCTGAAGGCAACGACAGCAAACGCAAAAGAGAAACATATACAGAGATGGTTCTACTGGCTAAGACACATCGCCTCGGATGACTTTGTGACGCTCTTGAATGCATCTGAACACCGGGAGGAGCACACGGGAGGCGTGTGAAAGGAGACCACCTGGGGCACCGGCGGAGCGGGGTTCCCCGGAAAAGGGACAGGAGATAAAGAATGACCGGATGGCTAAGATACCCACCTGCCCCCAAGCCACCTCCCCTTCTGCCCTCCCCCCTTTTTTTCTCTCTTTTTTTTTCTCTTCTCCTTCTTCTTCCTCTCTCTCTCTTTCGTCCCACCCAAGTTCCTGAAGCGTGCTTCACACGAACATACCCCCTAGACGGAGACACACATGCATGCAGACGTGCGAACATAAACAAAACCCCTACTGACTACATAACATTCGATTCAGATAAGTGCACAACCCAATACGCTACCCACCAGAACACCAAGACTCGCGACAGATGCTTCAGACAGAGACACCCAAACCCCACCAAACGGGAGAAGAACCATAGAATACACACGCAACATACGTGGATGCACAGCCCTTCAACTACTGTGACACTACCCAGAGACGCATACACCATCACCAAGACAGAGCCAGCCCCGCCTGGTAAGATGCAGTCATAAACCAATAAACCATCCGTATTGAACTACACAAATGCATCAACACTACACCGACATGATCACACATACGTGTAATCATTGAGCCACAAAAACGCTCTCACTACTCAACGCAAATATGAACAGGTGGCAATGCCAATATCAGCACAGATATTGGCACTAGCCACCTAGATGCTGGGAACAATATACTATTGCAATGGTCGCACCAGATGGCTAAACATGTACAAGTTCATACCAGATGTACGATACGCAGTGCCTCTGCGCAGGCACCAAAATGACTAAACGTGATATATATGCTATGATTACACATGTGAAATAAAAACATATTTAAAACAAACCAGCTAACACAAGGCAACTACAAAAACCAACTAACACAAAGCAACTACACAAACCAGCTAACACGAGGCAACTACACAAACCAGCTAACACGAGGCAACTACACAAACCAGCTAACAAAAAGCATCTACACAAACCAGTTAGCACAAGGCAACTACACAAACCAGCTAACACAAGACAACTACACAAACCCAAACCACACTAGGTTCTACTCGCCCAGACAACATGTCTTTAAGTTCGCAGAGTACACACCTACCCAATTAAAATAACTGCACCTGTTCAGTTTACCTGTTTCAATATATACGCCTCTGCGTAGGCGACCATATGCTTTTACAGTAATATGTTTGATATCCGCATCTACATTGTGATGACAATAAAAACTATTTAAAACAAAATGCATGATTGAATTTTAGGAGAAAAAGACAAATTACGATGTAAGCATATTAAATAATACAAATTATTAAGTAGGAAGAAATGGTTAATGGTCCCCTTAAATACTGAACATCTTTTCCACATATTTTTCCTACAAATTGTGTGAACAAGAGCAATGTGGCTGGCAATGTGGCTGGCACAGACCTATATACTACCGCTCTCTCAGTTTAGAGACAATCCAAAATGTAGAGTGGTCAGGTAGGACACAATAGTCCATCTCCTGCATCACAAGGGCCTTAAACAAACTCATTTTCCTGGCACTATGTAGTCCTTAGGTCCCCCCCACCCTCAGGGTCCCCCTCCCGCTGGGCTGAAAGGGTTAAAACCCCTTCAGCCACTTACCTTTAACCCGCACCGGGATCCCTCGGCGCTGGTGACCTCTCCTCCCCCTCAAACGTTGGCTCCTGAGTAGAGCCGAATGCACATGCGCGTCCACATGCGCGTTAAAAACACCCATAGGAAAGCATCACTCAATGCTTTCCTATGGACGTCAACGTCTTCTCACTGTGATTTTCACAGTGAGAATAGCGGAAGCGCCTCTAGTGGCTGTCAGTGAGACAGCCACTAGAGGCTTAATTAACCCTCAGTTTCTATGAAACTGCTATGTTTACAGCTGCAGGGTTATAACTAGAGGGACCTGGCACCCAGACCACTTCATTGAGCTGAAGTGGTTTGGGTGCCTATGGTGGTCCTTTAACAGCACATATTGTTTCCTTCTTCCCAGGACTGATAGGGATGAGTGGCTCGAATACCAGAATAGGAACTAAAAGAGGCTGTATGGACCTTGTTTTTTCTTGAGTGACAGCAGTATCTACACTATATGGACAAAAGTATTGGGACACCTGACCATTACACCAGCAGAGACGTTTATGACATTTATTTCACATATGTTTGTAAACGCAGACTGCATGGCTACGTGCTTGATTTTATACACCTGTGGCAATGGGTCTGACTGACACACCTGAATTCAGTAATTAACAGGTGTGTCACAATACTACATTTAGCTCATGTTGCTGGAGACTGTTGTATCCAATTTTAGTAAAACTCATGTTACTACATCTATACAGCAACATAGAGGTCGGTTGGGACAGTTACAAACTATACAATAACATTGATTGCTTCAGTGCACTGATTGCTAATCTAGGACCTTTGTTTGCCAAAACAGTCAAGAAGCAACAAAGTATACAGTGGCTTGAGTTAGTTATCAAAGAATGAATATTTCCAGTTAAATTTGGTGGAAATAGGCAAGTAGACTGAACTGTGAAAAGCAACTTGAAATAGTACAGGTGGTGATATAACGCATAAGTAACATTAAAAAATACCAACACGTTAGGCCAAAACTAGCCCTTGGCCAGGAAATGTTTATTTGAGTAATTTAATAAAATCACACACTTTTTAAATATGTCAGCTCTCACATTTTCATTACTATGTGAGGTTTTCTGTAACTCCCATCACACTCAGGTATCAAGGTGATGGCTATCTGTAGCCTGGGGAGGGTAGCCAGCATATAGTGGAATGTGGACGACTATCAAAGCATTATTCTTGCCCCGATTAAAATCAGCTGGAAATACACTGGGCTGATTGTTGGCAAACTACTGCAGGAACTTTGCTAGCCCTGTGCTTGGGCTTGTGGCCTACAATCTCAATGCCTTCGAGGGCTGCCCTGGCCCGCTGCCCCCCAGCTGCTAGCAAGTAGAATGTACCAAATCCTCATATACACCACAAACCCTCTGATATTGAAGCATATTGCGTAAGAAAACTGAATTAAGAGACACTTGGCTAAGATTTTCTAAATCGCCTTATGGTATCTCTAAAACAGGATATAATCCTCTGATTGAGACCATAACACAAGTTTCCTTCTGCTAGCCTTTCATGATACACAACATAATAAACATACCTATATATAATTGGGAGTCTGATACATCCACTCAGAACTGTGAGAAAGTGGTGTGTGCAGACCTCGATCACACGCTGCCTGGTTTAGTAACCTCACATGACCGGCAAAGTATATTTACAACAGTAACAAGAGAGGAAGTGATCGTCAGATTAATATCTCTTTACTGTATTCTGCATCAAACTATAGTGTGTTCCTCAACTTGGGGTGTTTCCTGGGAAAATAAGTGAATAACTGCACACTCCTGCAAATTTTATTGGAAGTAATTTGTCAAAAACATGGTGTATATGTTTATCTGTGTAGTAATATGAGGCTGCTTATCTGGGCTCAGTTTTATGCTTGATTATATAACGTTACTAAACCAAGGTTTGAATTCTCTATACTTTTTTTTTAATACACAAATTAAATCAGATTACATATTTATAAGTAAGATTCCTAAAACACTGTTACATAGACCAGCCAACTAGATGTACCGGCATCCTAAGGAGTTAATTTTCATAAAGTGGCTATGCACCCAAAAATAAATGTCATCTTATCTGTTTCTTCATTGCTTCTTGTGTTGGACTCTGTTTTTATTGGGTTGCTGAGCACTTTAGTTTTTATTGAATATATAAATAAAAGTATGGACTGCTTTTCCTCATGTATAGCAGTCGGGTTGACAAAACCTGACAATGGTTTCAGTTACCAAACAAATTTACCCACATTCCACCAGTACAATAAATCCCACAATGAGCAAACTGCAGACATCATGGACAGAGGAGAACAAAATGGCTGCTCCCAGATATTGAGATCCGGCACAAGGAAGAAAAGATAAATATAAACAAAGGCAAGTGGTAAGGAGGGGAGTATAATCATAAAGAGAAAAAAAAAAACAACTTCGCTTTAATGAGTTGCGGTGAATTAAAGAGACAGTTAAGGCACCATAACAACTTCATCTGAATGCAGTTGTTATGGTGCCAGCAGGCTTTAAAGCGCCGATCCTCAGGTGCACCATTTGGCGTCCTGTTTCAGGAAGTGGGAGTGCCACCGGGCAGGGGCATCGCTGATTGGCTGAGAGCAATCAGCTGACGCTCTCAGCTGACTCCCCATTCATAAAACTGACTTGAAGAGAAATGTACCTTTATCAAGCCAGTTTTATGAATGGTGAGTCATTGTTGGCTGTGAGTGTCAGCTGACCCCTCTCAGCCAATCAACGGTGACCCTGAAACGGAGTTTGAGAAGCCGGATGTCGCCTAAGGATCGGCGCTGGAAGCTCAGGTTTAACTCCTTAAGGCAAGAGTAGGCCCAGGAGCCTTGTGGCACCATAACAACTTTATTTAGATTAAGTTGTTATGGTGACTGGAGTACCCCTTTAACAACCAGCTTTCATTTATACAAGACAGCTACAAACAAAACAAAACCCGTTGCAAATTACATTTATTAACAGAACATATCCCCTCAGCTGGGGCTCATGGGATATACTTAGCTCTGCCATAAAGGCCTGGCTAGGATTGGCTGAAAAGTGTCAGCTACTTTTTAGTCTGGGCAAAGCTTGCGGTGGGAAGCTGCAAATCCTGAGAAATTCCAGTAAACACTGGATCTTCCAGAGGAAAGATTTTCCCTTTAATAATTTAACATTTGTAAAATGTATTTATTTGCATACTGTTTGATACATTACCTAGTAGTTAATGAATAGCCTGAGTTGTCCCTTTAAGCCTCGAAAATGTTGCAAATGTTTTTCTTGCGGTTTATGTTGCCAAACTGCATGTTGTTAAATATTTTACAAACATTGTAGTGTCCTTTGCTAGTTTTAATTGATGTGCATGCAATAAATAGTTTTTATACATTTTGATACATGTGCCTGGACGTCACTAAAAGATATCCAAGCAGCACACAGTGTAATATATTTAGATTTTTATGTAGTGTTATAAAAACTGGATGTGGTGGGACATGTCCTTCTATGAGATTATCCGATAAAGTGTACTAAAAAAAGAATTCTATATATGTTTATTCACTAAATCATGATTCATGTTTGCGTTGGCAAACAAACTGCAAAATTAAGGCCCAAACTGACAAGTTGGGAAATGGTTTGCAGTTCTGCTAGTACAAATATTTCCGTTAACGATGAAGTGGCATATAAAATGGAGATAATAAAACAATAATGGAATAGCTCAATAAAATCTGAGTATTCCTTACGTTTGGCTTGAGAAGGATCCTGCTGCCCCCTCCACACTGTTACAATAGGCCTATTCTGCCTGTGGCTAATACAATACTGGTTCACCCGCAAAAAATGGGTCAAAGAAACCACTATGCAGGTCCACCTACACAGGGGGGCCCGGGCCCCACGTGTATCAGTGCATCTGCACCGGGGCCCACACGCTGATGGGGCCCATCAGATGGCCCAAGCATTTAGGGCCACCTAATGGGCCCTATTATCTTCAGGGGCCCGGTCAGCGCTGTAATAGCGCGACCGGGCCCCTTTAAAAAAATGCAGCCGGAAAGCAAGTACTGCTGGGAGGAAGTGGCATCCGGTCACTTCCAGTTTACTCCACGCAGGAAGGCAGAGAGAAAGCATGAAGGCCGCGAGGAGAGGAAGCCAACTCACATCATCCCCAGCCACCCTCCTGTGACGAAATTGTAAGGCTGAAAATGAGGTGTGTGTATATATGTATGTGAGTATGTACGTATGCCAGTGTGTGTATGTATGTATGTATGTATGCCAGTGTGTGTATGTATGTATACCAGTGTGTGTATGTATGCCAGTGTGTGTATGTATGTATACCAGTGTATGTATACCAGTGTGTATGTATGTATGTATGCCAGTGTATGTATGTATGTATGTATACCAGTGTGTGTATGTATGTATATATGTATATATAAGTATGCAGTATGTGTATGTATGTACGTTTGTCAGTATGTATGTCTGCATGTATATGTGTGTGTGTGTGTGTGTGTGTGTGTCAGTATCTCCCTATGCATGTGTGAATGTCTGTTTCAGTATTTGTATCTGTTAGTGTGTGTGTATTCCTGTGGGCGGGATTTGGAGGCGGGCTTGAAGGGGGGCCCAGACCTTGAGCTGTGTTAGGGGCCCCAAATTTTCTGACGGCGGCCCTGCCCCTACATATTGCAGTTCCTCAGGACCTTTCATTATACTTACGTCTAAGAGGATGGGGTTACTTGCAAGTTGACTCTCTCCCTGGATCCCAATTCAGGCTTATATTCAAAGGGGATAGGATACCACTCCATTTTTAAAATGTATTTTATTTAACTATAGTGTGTAACCAAATGGGTTTCCCCTCCCAATTGGAATATTAAAGCGGCTCTATCGCTTCTGAGTTTTTCCTAAAGATATCATTACAAAATACTGATGTTGAAATGCGTTGGGATATCATTGAAATTCCAAAGCATTCCAAAGATACCATAAGTAAAAGTATTGACTACTTTGTCTTACAGTAAAGTCTGAGGTTGACAAAAGGTGGAGCTCCGCCGACAACCTTCGTCCATCACAAGTGATTGCTATGGGATTCAGGCATGGTTTCGCTCATCACGAGACATTAACTATAGAGGCTTCTGTGGTCTCACCAGGAGCTAAAGAGGGTCCCCAGGACAAGAATGGGGGCAGCTGCAAAGGAACAGCTTTGGTAAGCAAACTTATCCTTCATTGTACCCTACGGCCACTGGACCATAATTGAAGAGATCACCTTTGCGGCCTTGGCAAAATATATAAAAACAAACGATAGTGACAGATCCACTTTAAGTGCACTTGAATCGTGCAGTGAGGCAATTATGAAGGCAGCTTCATTGCAGCATGATGCAATCGGTACATTCACGCACCTCGGCATCTGCAAAGAAATGCAGTACGAGTGCATGTGTGCTGAAAAATTTCTTCCAAAGCACTATATGCGAGCGTGCACTCGCATGGTGACTGGAAAAAACAATATGTTGGAAGTAAATTTAAATTACATTCTGTTTGCTGTGCCATGAGTGCCAGGCACACACTATTTTTCCAAGAACCCAGATGAAGACATTGCTGTTTTGTGTGTGGTGGTCCAGGGCTAGATATACTTACCTCATGATGTCCCCCATAGATGTCACCATCTTCTTCCTTCAGCTATTGGCAATTTAACCACCGGGAGCCCACATCCGTCTGTGCGAGAGTACAGCAAAACACTGCAGCCACGCCACCATAGTTATTGTCACGCATAGAGTGAGAAAATGCCTTATTCCCCCAGCTATAACTACTTGACAAAGGAAGGTCCACTTCTTGTGAAGTGGAAGAAAAATACAGAAGGCAAAGTAGTCCCTATTATATGGGAAGACGATCGAAAAAAAAAAAAAAAAAAACAGTTTAGGAGTGAGGAACAGAAACAGATTTTTTTTTAAATGTTATGTTTAGGGTGACATAACTGTTTTGACCACTTCTGTATCATTGGAGTCCAGAGAATTCTGGATTGCAGTCATGTTAAACGAACTCACTAAAATGGGGATTGTTGAGAATATACAAGGGAAGTGCAAATTTGTAACCAAAAAAGATAGAACAGGACAATTTCTAATCAAAAAGACAACAGGAAAATATTTGCTTGGCAACTTTACCCTTAAATTTAAATTCATGTAACAGTGAGATAATTATAAGGAACAGGAGCAAATCCTTCTTCTTCAGCTTGGCTGCTATTACGAAAAAATTGAAACAAATTGCAGAAATGATGTTTCTGAAAGTTGTGGTTCTCAAAAAGTACCTTTTTTGGCGTTGTGCAACAAAAAGGCTGGTCCATACGTCTTTGACATTTTGTTTATGCAGCCCAGAATGCAATGCTGTATATATCCAATTATACACTGAGACCTTGGCAGTCGGGAAAAAAAAAACAAAACAAAAACACAACTCAAACAGCAGTGTGTTTATTGTGAAAGGGTTTCTGTGAGCAGCACGAGTGGCGGCCAGAGGACAACTGTGTGTGAATGCTGAGTCATGTTTGGAAGCTGAGAACAGCAAATCGAACACATGGTGATATGCGCAGCTGGTCATCGCTACTAACTCCTCCCCAGAACAAAACCAAAACAAACACAAACTCCGACAGTCACTATGTAGCAACGGCCTTTACAGCCAGGCCTATATTAACTCCTTGATGTTCTCAGCTTAAATATCGGCAGTGTCGCGGTGCAGTTGCCGCAGTGGTGACAACACAGATTGAGGAACAGCGCGCACCAAAATACAGTTTTAAATTGTACAAGGCTACTTAAAATCATCTATCTCAGCAAACAAATATGGGGATTCAGTTCCAGCATATCGAATCCCATATGAATCCCATATGTCTCTGCTGTGATAGGTGGTTTTAAGCAGCCTTGTAAAAGTTAAAACTGTGTTTGTTTTGTGTGTGCGCTGTTTCTTAGTCTAAATTTTAAGGGTGCCCAAAAGGTAGATATGTTAAAACTACAGCTTCCATGATTCTTTGTAATTGTAAATGCATTCTAAAAGGCATGCAAAGCATCAACGGAGTTGTAGTTCTACAACATCTGGGGATCTACCCATTTGGCACCCCTGCTTTATTTTGCATACATTTTGGTCTCTACAGCAGCACCAGTGTTGAGAAATGCATGTTCTGGGTGTGCCCCCAATTCCCTTTTTTATGTCTTGCCAACAAAACAGTCTGTTCTTTCTTTTAGCACTATACTTGTCAGGGTGATCAGCAACAAGTGGAAAAACAAACATTATTAGCATTTTTATAGAGCCCCAACAATCAGCAGAGCTGTACAACAGCAAAAAATAATAAATATTACGTAGGGTTTAGGCCCACATTTGGCTCTCTGGATTTTGTTGGACGAAACCTCCATTAATCTCAGATATAGAGACAGTCGATTAATAATGAAAATGGCAATATCACAAGCTAGTCTTGAAAAATACACACATCACAATGTTATAACTGGCCCCTTGGTTCCAAGGCACGGCACAAGAGAGCCAAATAGGGAAATGTATCCGACAAGATAATATTTCAGTTTAATCAATGCTAAGTTTTCCATTTTATTGTCTATACTATTGAAATAAAGTCAGCCAATCACAAGGGATTGGTAGTATGGCATCCCCTAGTGGTAATGAAGCAAGGTGCACTAGTAAGCAGCACTCTTTGTGGCAAAGGTCTTCTCCATTAATTGTCCAATGCTCTCGACAACCATGTATGTGCTGGTTGGGGACATCATACTCTGCGGGAGGCATACCCAAGATTTGTTTTATAATTGAATTTGAACTCCAAGACATCTAACCGGTATTTAATTCTATGATATTCTTTTGTTACCCTCCCCTCCCCATTCCCCTGATTGTCATTTAGGATTCTCAGACAGTCACACAGATCATATAATCCCTGCTGGATTCGTACTTTGGCTCAAAGGTTATACATCAGCAGAATCTCTTTATAAAAATTCAAAACAGATGTGCTGCTTACAGCTGGTGAGTCTGGTTCTCAGATACAGCCAATATAGCTTGACATCTGCGCTCTGTTTATCCTAAGCCAACCCGAGGCACAAGATCTTCCTATAAAGGAACCAGTCAAAGTGGCACCATCTAAACATGCAATTATTACCAAAACACCCATCGTCTGCAAACAGTAGAATTCTATTTAGAAACACAATATTTACATAATGCTATGTATCAGTGACTCTTATTACATTTAATGCAAATAATACAATATTCCCTATAACATAGCTCAGTGTTTGCAGTTTTTGGTTTTTTTTTTAACGATCTTCAAATTTGGGTTGACAGATCTACCTTATATTCCTGGACATCTATCTTTTTAACAAACAGTATGGCAGTGCATGAAAAGTTCTGGTCTTCTGATACGTGGAATACATATGCTGCAGGAGGGCTGGTGACTTGATCAAACTGGCATCCCAAAAGAACCAACCTGATTAACAGCCCTCCCATTCAGCATATTAATGCTACAATGGGTCAGCTCTTTTCATATATTTCCCAACAGCAAGTGTCATACAGAGCAACTGCTACTGCCAATAATAGATTTGCTGCATCCCATCTGTCAATCTTGCATTCAACAAGCTCCCTGAATACAATATCAAATATTATTGGTGGATAATCTGAAATTGAATTGGTACTGAACATATCCTATACCAGTTTAAAGTGAGCAGCACCTAGGGTATATATGCCACAGGTTTTGAAGTTGAGCTATATACACTTCTAAAAACCATCTGAAAAACGTTGACAAAGAAATCACAGAAAGTCAATAACTATAAAAGACAGGCATAGTGTTGTGTAGAGAATAGAGAGGGAAGGGGGGTGGGGGAGGAGAAAATAATGACTCATTTTAGATGTGCATTGAACTTGGCACCCTTAACAAGGAACTAATGTATCTAGTTAACAACACTAAAAATCACCCATAATCTCACCATTTCTATAATTAGTAAACAATACAAAGTAAAATTTCTGACTGCACTTATAAATGCTTCACATTCAATAGTTAAACATCTACAACTTTTAATGTTGTTTTTTTTTCCCTTATAAAGATTACCTTAATCAAGAAGTATTAATATTAGTATTTAATGTATTTACTTAAAATAATCTGGATTGTTCATAGTTTCTCACTGCAGATCTTTTTCTGAGTGAGGGTCTATATATCCAATTGTCTACAGGTATCCCCCTTAGTACATCTCTCATCACCTGTAACCAGCATTTGGATGGGCATGATAAGAGTTGTATTCCAAAAGTAGCAATACGGTGAGTTAGAGGTCCCCTGATGTCATGCCAGTTAACCTGATGAGCCCTAGGACAATATAGAGTTTAACCCACGTTGTGCTCACAGCCACCTATCTCCCTATCCAAACAAGCCATTGTGAGTACTTACCTTAGTCGTGGGGTGCAGACAGGGGCTGAGCAAGGTATCCTCTCACCTGCTGAGTTCCAGAACTGTGCCCGGTAACTGTGAGTTCCTCTCATTGAGCTGTATTGAAGGGAGCAGAGCAGGCTGGGGAGGGACTGGCTGTGATTGGCAGAAGGAGCAGTGACTGGCTCCCATCCACTCATCTCCTACACAATGTATCCACTGCCTATTGTCCAGTCAATGTATCCAGCACTGAGTGTTCTAGAATCCTTATCGCTGTGTTTACACTGCCACCTCTCACCGGCTCACAATCCACACCATACTCACTCAATTCACTTACAGGATGCTGCTGCCTTCTGCCTCCTCTAATTAGCTTTGTCCCGTCTGCACTCCCTGACTCGTGATCTGCTGTACTCAGTCTTGTTTTATTTACTTCACCATCAACACTTCAAGCCTTCCCTCCCGTGACTGCAAGGTACCTGCAGTCACACCTGCCAGGCATTAAATCCTCAGACACTGACATTCCTGCTCAGTTTGGGTTCTGCTGTAAGGGGCTTATTCACTAAACTGCGATTTGGAGTGTGCTAACATATACCTACTTATAGTGGCAGTCTCAGCAGCATCTGGGACTTGTTGTGGTTTTGGTGCCACAAATCTGAGTGCTCTGTTTTCAGGATTATTTTGCCAAAATGTTTTGGAACTACCCATAGAGCTCATTAGTCCAGACCCTCAGTTGCAGTGATGAAGAGGGGGATTATATTGTTATATTATCTCAACATAATATATTTAAACCTGAGAGACAGTCCCTTGCACCCACAGACTGCTTTCTATATAAACATCCATCCTGAATGGCAATTATAGGCTGAGAGGGGGTGGGTTAGCATAAAGTGTGTAAGTTGTCAATGGATGGTTCACCCGTACAGTGGTACCTCGGTTTACAAACGCCTCGCCTCGGTTAACATAATTTGCGGTTTACAAATGAAAATCCATTGAAAACAATGCCTCGGTTTACACATTTTGTTCGCGATCCAAAGCAAGTTTCCCCAGGATGCATTGCACCTAGTCTGTGGGTAGCACGTGGCGTCGAGTGTGGAGGTGTTGGGGCGGCTTTTGCATCGAGTTTTGGAGCCATTCTGGAATTTTTTTGCAACGGTTTTGAGACTTTTTGGAACTTTTTTGGTGCATTTCTCGAGCGGTGGAAAGGTAGGGAGCTGGGCTTTGTCGTTTGTATGCCTTTTATTGTGTGTTCTGCATTGTGGGTTGGTTTCCATGCCAGCTCATTTTGACTTTTTTCTGACCTCCAAAACAGATTAATTGGTTTTCAGTGCATTCCTATGGGAAACTGCGTTTCGGTTTACATATTTTTCGCAATACAAAACGTCCAGGAGAACGCATTAACAGTGAACGCATCGTTTACTGTGCATATATACCCCAATAATAATTAGTCGATTTTTACCACATAGGATGGAGAGTATGCATTCAATCTGACATTATGGAAAACTAACAAAAGTGTTGGAAAATTCAGGTGGCGAATTTATTAAATTCTTATAGTTTTAGCCTAACATTTGCAATATCCTTGTGAATTGTCCATATTAATAGTATTATTATTTGTTTTTGTTTCTTTAATTAAACGACCAGTTCTTTGCACTTGTCAGATTCCTGGTTATATTTTCTATTTCGTAAGACCTATTTTTGCAGCAGCAAAGTTAGATATTCCATGCCAGAACCTCCACAGACTGTCAGTAGATACAAATCAGGATTTATAATTAAACTGCCCACTAAGTCTATAGGCCCAAAGCTATCTACAATTTTCACACATGAGGAGCCATATTTGCTGAAATGTGTCTAAAAAGGTGATGGGCAATTCTCCAACAAAATGGCATACTTAGCAATTTTGAAGGTTGGGTACCACTATAAATCAATTTTTCTTAAAAATCTTTTTTAGCATTAGCTAGTTAACCAAGTTAATAGAGATTTCTACCCAGCTGTGGTTTAGCAGGGAACCTTTCCTTAGGTTTTGAGCTGGAAAAATTCTCTAAGTCATCTCCGCTCTCAGTTTGGCTACTATGGCCTTAAATTTGAAATTCACTTTAAAGGACCACTCTATGCACCCAGACCACTTCAGCTTAATGAAGTGGTCTGGGTGCCAGGTCCAGCTAGGGTTAACCCTTTTTTTTAATAAACATAGCAGTTTCAGAGAAACTGCTATGTTTATGTTAGGGTTAATCCAGCCTCTAAAGCCTCTAGTGGTTGTCTCATTGACAGCCGCTAGAGGCGCTTGCATGATTCTCACTGTGAAAATCACAGTGAGAACACGCAAGCGTCCATAGGAAAGCATTAAGAGTGCTTTTCTATGAGACCGGCTGAATGCGCGCGCAGCTCTTGCCGCGCGTGCGCATTCAGCCGAAAGGGAGGATGATCGGAGGCGGAGAGGAGGAGGAGAGCTCCCCGCCCGGCGCTGGAATAAAGGTAAGTTTTAACCCTTTCCTCTCCCCAGAGCCGGGCGGGAGGGGGACCCTGAGGGTGGGGGCACCCTCAGTGCACTATAGTGCCAGGAAAACGAGTATGTTTTCCTGGCACTATAGTGGTCCTTTAACCCCTTAAGGACACATGACATGTGTGACATGTCATGATTCCCTTTTATTCCAGAAGTTTGGTCCTTAAGGGGTTAAAGTCTTACTTTAGTTACTAACCCTGTCTAACTTTCTGTAACAGTATTATTTTAAGTTTGTTTCAGCAGGGCCCTCTTATCTCTTCTTATCTACAGTATTTTAATTATTTACTTGCAGTTATATACCCCACTGTATAACTGTAAAATATCCTCAAAATATATTGCCACTATAAAAAAAATGATAATACTACTACTACTAAGAAAAAAAGTGTGGCAGTACTGTAACCAAAGGCATGGATAATTTTAAAACTAACCTTTTCTTACAAGAATAGGATTGATGCAGGTTCCTCTCCCAGGACTTCCTGTTTAACATGTGATTCATTTCATGACACAACCTGTTATTAGCTGTCCTTCTGTGACCAATGGCTGCCCTTGGCTGATATCCTGACCAATAGCAGGTCAGAGGTGGGCAGCCAATATCTGTTTGGATCCTGCAGGAACCTGAGGAGAGAGCAGGAAGTGCTGGGGCCATACAGTTACCTCAGGGAGATTGAAAAGGTTTGTTTTAAAACTGCAGGTGACTTTGTTTATATTTCTGGATATATTGATTCATATAGGAAGTTCATCTAACAAGATAAAGAAATGGACCACAAAATAGTTTGCCTGTTTCTGTACTGTATTAATTTTTACACAGACCCCTGTTAAGCAGGCTTTTTTTGGGGGTTATCTAAGTGTTTCAAAATGGAACTATCACCCCCGTTCTCCCCCACCCCTGTGAAAAATGAGAATTTCATAAAGATAGAATTTTTATGAAATCCTCATTTTAATAATGTTGGAATTTCACTGAAATTTTAACCCTGTCAAATGATATACAGATACAAATTAGGGACTACTTTGTCTCTGCATTTCTTGTCCACCTGACTTTCTTAAACTCTGGCTGGAGTCTAAGTGTCAATCCTAACAGCTGTCACCTGTCTTGCGGTATCCTTCATAGATCTCAATGCTGTCCTCTCGTGCATGTGTGAGAGTACATCAGTGACATCGGCTCCAAAGAGGACCCATTGGGTTCCTACTTTCAGATAAATAGAACTCACCGTTATCTGCCCCTTCTCCAGCCACCGGTTCCCCCAGAGGCGATGTTGTCATCGGGGGTCTTTGTGAATTCGGAAAAATCCCCTGACAGTGCCAGTAAGAAAGGGTATGCAAGAAAATGTCATCAACATGAGGGATCATCAACATGAGGGGTCATCAACATTGCATACCTCCCACCAGTCCCATGTTCAACGAGACAGTCCCGCTTTCTGGGTGACTAATTTTCCAACCACCTTAAATTGAGTCCACTTTAAGTAATCATCATTTCTATGGTAATTCTGGTTCTACATTGTAGCCATTTTATTAAGTCCCCTTCCGGTGAAGTTACAGTTTGCGATCTTCCTGGTATCTGGATTGGAACTACTGTCGGCAGTGGGACATACCCCCCATAACCATAGGGGAGGCACCCTGAGGGCTCGCTTTAAACAACCAATCTGAGTGAAACCAATAAATGTCTTGCGATTGAGAGGCCATAACAGTATCACATGATGTTTTGTTTTATTTATTTGTTTTAGTGATGCCAGCTGGATCCCTATTTTGTTTGTATTTTATACTATCTTGTATGTGTTACCATATTGGGAGGTAACTGGAGGGAAGCAGAGTATCCAAAAGCGTTTATTTTGTTATTTCCACCGGTGAAGAGGTAGAAGTTTGTACATTGTACTCCTGTATGTATCCTTGCTGTGATTGTAGGAATTAAGTTTGTTGAAAAGAAACATACGGACAGCTTGAAGCCGAGATGTACATAAAAAATAGATCTGAACAATGCAATCAGGCAGACAGACTCCAGTTTTAGCTATTGATAAATAAAAACAGAATAAATAAGGTCATATGTGTTTTTATCTCTATATACTACTTCAAAGGCAAACTGAAGCTCTAACCTCAATTGGGTGAAATATACAGGGTTGTAAAAAAAGAAAATCCAGGTCATACCTTAAAGGGTCACTGTAGGGTCAGGAACACAAACATGTATTCCTGACCCTACAGTGTTAAAACCATCATCTAGCCCCCCTGGGCCCCTCATGCCTCCATAAATATAGTAAAAATCTTACTGTATTCAAGCTGTAACTCTGCGTGCTGTTAGACTCAGAAAAACAAACAGTTTGCTGACATCATCAGAAGTGGTAGCCTGATCCAATCACAATGCTTCCCCATAGGATTGGCTGAGACTGACAAAGAGGCAGATCCAGCATGATTCAAACACAGCCCTGGCCAATCAGCATCTCCTCATAGAGATGAATTGAATCAATGAATCTCTATGAGGAAAGTTCAGTGTCTGCATGCAGAGGGAGGAGATACTGAATGTTTGGATGCATTTTAGGCAGCCATGACCCAGGAAGGATCTCTAACAGCCATCTGAGGAGTGGCCAGTGAAGATATCACTAGGCTGTAATGTAAACACTGCTCTGAAAAGACAGTGTTTACAGCAAAAAGCCTGAAGGTAATGATTCTACTCACCAGAACAAATTCAATAAGCTGTAGTTGTTCTGGTGACTATAGTGTCCCTTTAAGTTTACTGTAGGTGGATGCAAGCCTGTCCCAATGTCAAAATCGCAACACACTTAAATAATACATATTATTATTTTTGGAATTTATATAGCGCCAACTTATTCCACAGCGTTTTACAATATTATAAAAGGGGTATTTAACAATCAATTAGACAATTACAAAACATTACAGGAACAATAGGTTGATGAGGATCCTGCTCAAATGGGCTTACATGATCAAAGAAACCTAGAAACACGTCATTTAAAAACATTAAGGTAAAGATCAAATAGGAGGTAAAAAATAACAACACAATATAAAGCAAATGTTATTGTGCTTAAAAAAAAATAATTCGGGGGGCGGAGCCTGGACACCAATGGAGCAAGACGTGTAAAGCTCGAGCTCTCCCGCCCAGGAGTGACAATCAGCCTACATCAGCAGCACCCCCCAGGCATCCAGCCTTATAAACAGGTTAACTGATACCCACACAGCCGCCCGTCAGAAATACCGATGGGGGGCACCAAAAAAAGAAAGGAACAACCGACCTCAGTGGCCTCAATGTTCCGCACCGCCAGAGAATTAACGCGGCCATCTTTGAGCCAGGAGGCACTAAACGCCCACGATTCAGGCTCAGAATCCGACAACGATGAGGACACAGACAGGAGACAAGAGCCTCTCCAATCAACCTCATCTCAACATGGGCAAGACATCTACTACCTAAGCGACAAGATACAATACCTTGAAGACAGCTTAGAAGACCTAAACAACCGTTCTCGCAGAAATAATATCAGGATAAGAGGCCTACCGGAAGCTGTGGATGCCGACGCCATTTTACCCACGCTCCGCGACCTCTTTCATACAATACTACCGGACTCCACTGAACAGGAATGCGACATCGAACGGGCCCACAGGGCACTGAGGCCCCTGGCACTCAATCCCACCTCACCTAGGGACATTATAGTCCGCATGCAGCACTTCGCCACAAAAGAAAAAATAATGGCTGCCACCAGGGCCTCACCACCAAAATATGGAGCCTCCACATGGCTTTTTTTCAGGATCTGGCACCGTCTACCCTAAAGAAAAGAAGGGACCTGAAACCCCTGACGATGGCCTTAACCAAAAAGGGTCTGAAGTATAGATGGGGGCCACCCTTTTAAATTACAAGTGCGCCTGGGCGACCAAGACCACGTTCTACACCACCCCGCGGAAATGGAGGACTTCGCTACAGCCCTGGGCCTCCAGCTCTTCACCGGGACGCAGGCAGCCGACCGGTACAACACAGCTCACGGAGGAAATCACAGAGCAGCGCAACCACCCCGAAACCAAGCTAAGAAGAGACCCCCACCACAGGCTGAGAATACCGACCCAACGGCTACCTGATGTACATGCAGAAAACAGGTTTCCCGTGTAGGGAGGCGTGCTAGATGATGGGACAGGTTCTATATATTTACTTACTATACCATCACAAGCCACATAATGTATTTCTTGCATACATGTAATGTTTTGCGGTACAGTAGCTGTTGTTACAGGGACCAGGGACTGAAGCTGCAGGGCCCACGTAGCACTGCTAACAACAGACCACCAACACTGACACCCTGGGTACCCCCCCCGCCTTACCAGCACACCTACCTCCCAGACACTCCACACAGCTCTATTTCTCAAAAGCCTCAGTCCACATCAACCAAAACAGGAGCTGTATTACACACGCAAAACTCGCACACCAACGGTATATTATGGGCGGTAAAATCTGGAGTGTGGGTCACACAGTAGGAGGTTAAACAAATGTAAATAAGTTATGAGTATGAATGGTTAATATGATTAATGTTTAGTACAGTTCAGTAAGTCCAGACACTTGGACACAGTCGGACGCTCTTCAGACTTGGAGTATTCAACTGCCCCAAAAAACCCTAATATAAGCTAGCAGGGCCACAGAACAGTCACATAAAACTTAACAAAGGCAACCCCCATCTTTCCCGAGGGCGCCACCATAACACGACAGAACACTCACAGACACCCACTGAACACCAACACCAATTGCCACTAACAGCGGTGACACCCTGGCAGACTCGAGGTAACAGCATATTTCATAAAAAAATAAATAAAAAAAAAGATATACTTTCGAGTCCCGGAATACTATATGATACTCTGGCTCATAATACAGTTATAAGCCTGCGCACCTCTAACCCCACAGTGATAAGACATTCCCACTGTCCCCTCTTGGAAGGGGTAGGAAGTAATGCAGGGTATACCCTCACATGGGGACACTACACCCAAAAAGGCAGGAGGGCCAAACTGGAACTAAACAGTTACGATCCAGAGAACCCCACCTGATACTCCCATGACCCGCTTCCCTAGACAGCACCCTCAACTTTAAGTATGGCACTTTATACATAGCCTACAACAGGGCATACTGCCCACCACTTAAGATCAACCATGCGCATCTCCCTCATAATATGGAAAGGGGGTAAAGGGGATTTTGTACAAGCTCTCAATGGGTTACTAACGAGGTATTGCATATGTGAAAATGTAAATATTGTTCGTAAATGTGTTGTACATTGTACCCACAGACTATTAACAGACCCCACCACAGGCACGACCCCACAGCACGGACAACAGGCCCCCCCTGGGGACTCTAGGAGCGTCACCGCAATGGAGATGTTGGGGCCACCAAACCGAAACACTAAGACCCCCAAGGGTGGGAAGAAACCCTGACCCCCGACAAGGGACACGCACACACAGGAACGACACTACATGACACCTGTGACCGTATAATTATCAGACCCATGACACGCATCACACGATGCACCCCAACTCTTACCACAACCCAAAGAACGCTCCAGGAGACAATGGACCCAACCCAACAGACAACATTGAGGCCCTTAACCGCCTGGTATAAAATAACGATATCTGTTACATTGATACCTTTACAGAAGCCCTGCCACCCGCTACGGCGATTCCATTCGGACCCCCCCACCGAAGGGTATGAATAACCTGATAAGACAACACCAGAGGTAAATTCACAACACTCCGAAGTGACGGGAGGAGAGAAGAGACATCCCTCTCGACACTTCCTACTCAACCCACACACCTCAATTACCACCACATACAACGGCTCCCACCGCTTTACAAGCGGTTATATAGAGGGAACCGGTTTGGATCAGTACAAGGTACAGACAACCAAACCCCCTCCACCTCCGTCCCCAACACTCCTGGCAACTTCGGTATCAGACCAGGCACATCCCGACCAACCCGTCCCTACATACACAAATACCCCACCGGGGTGTAAAACCCCAGAACTCAATCCTTGAAACGAAACCTAAGCATACATGCCCTCACCCTCCTGCCTCATCCCCCTCCCTTACCTTATCCCTCCTCATAGCCAGGCGCACCGCCCTAACACATACACACGAATAACCCCAGAAAATAACACCCCCTGAGAGAACATCCAGACGCTATGACTGCCAAACTCACCTGCATTTCCATTAACTGCAAAGGCCTCAACAATCCAGCGAAGAGACACCGACTCATGAGGTGGGCGAACCGCACAGGAGCAGATATAATGCTTCTACAAGAAACTCACTTCACCCAAACCAAACCGTTTCCCCTCCTCAGCCGGCACTTTAGAGAATGCTATACTGCTAACTCCCCCAACACCAAACAGAATGGAGTAGCCATACTGCTACGCAAGACATGTCCCCTAAACGTAAAACAAGTTATTAGAGACCCCCAAGGCAGGTTCCTGACACTCACAGGCCAGGCAGGCCCCAACAAATATGCCATCACAACACTCTATGCACCGAACATCCCTGACAAATCATTCTGGGATACACTACAGGCCCACCTGACACTGACTCCAGGCCACCTCAAAATTATTGGAGGAGATTGCAATGCTACGTTGTCACCGGCGACAGACAGACACCGCACCCGCCGACACGGACAAGACACAGCCCCTACAACCAAAGTAGATAAACTGCTACAAGCATTCACCCTCCAAACACGATTGGTTGATGTGTGGCGAACACTACACCCAACCACACATGACTTTACATTCTTTTCACACCCACACAACTCTTACTCACGTATAGACCTTTTTTTGATCTCCCCTTCCCTTCTACCCATGGTCCACACGGCCACCATAGGCAACATAACATGGTCAGATCACGCGGACATAGCTCTAACAATAAAAATCCCAAATGTAGCGCGCCCCTGGACCTGGAGACTGAACCCGACTCTGCTACATAACCCCCTCCTGAGAGACACCATTCACAAAGACTTGTCAGAATATTTTACCAATAACGCACCCTCAGCACCCTCCCCGGGAATACTATGGGCAGCACACAAAGCAGTCATCAGGGGGAAATTAATCAGCCTGGCCGCAGCACATAAGAAAACTCAACTAGAGTCACTAGCAAAATCCCTGGAGGCCCTCAGGAACCTAGAAACCGAACACAAACAAAAGCCCACCCCTGACATTCTCGCAAAACTGACAGACTGCCGCACTCAAATTAAAGACTTCATGGCCAAGGACTCGGCCAAGGCGTTACAATGGTCAAAACAGACCTACTACGAAAAATCAAACAAAGCAGACACTCTGCTAGCGAGAAAACAGGACAGACCAAAAAAGAATAGACAAAATACAGACACCGGAGGGAGTCACACACTCTCTCCCATCAAAAATAGGTGAGGTCTTCCAAAGATACTTTACCACACTATATGACCACAGCCCAGATGCGAGACAACACCCGGATGTAATGTTAGAGTCCATAAACACATATCTGCAAAAAATACCACTACCAGCCCTGAAACCAGAAGCGATAGCTAAACTAAGTGAACCTATCACCATAGAAGAAGTGGCCACAGCAATTAAAAACACTAAGCCCAATAAAAGCCCCGGACCCGATGGTTTCTCGGGTCTTTATTATAAAACCTTCCCAACCACACTCCTCCCACACCTATGCTCACTCTTCAACTCTGTGATACAGGGAAATCCGCTGCCACCGGACATGCTCCGAGCCAACGTGTGCCTCCTCCCTAAACCAGGCAAATCCCACCTGGACCCAAGCCACTATAGACCAATCTCTCTACTGAATGTGGACGTCAAATTACTCACTAAACTACTCGCAAATAGGATAAACCCATACATACATAAACTTATCCACCCCGACCAGGTCGGTTTCATACCCCACAGACAAGCATACGACAACACAAGACGGACCTTCGACCTCCTTTGGACTGCAACACACCGACGCATCCCAGCCCTCTTTCTCTCACTAGACGCAGAGAAGGCTTTTGACCGACTCCTATGGCCTTTTCTGTTCGCTACCCTCCGCAAATTTCAGGTACCCCACACAATTCTCAACGCACTTCAAACTATGTACTCCTCCCCAGAAGCAAGCCTCCTCATCCCTAACACACAACCCCCCTCCTTCCGCATCTTCAATGGAACCAGACAGGGATGCCCCCTCTCCCCACTATTATTCGCCCTCTCATTAGAACCCCTCCTCCAAGCCCTCAGGTTCGACCCTACAATATCAGGCATATGTATAAGAGGGGAGGAATACAAAGTAGCAGGATACGCAGACGATCTCCTCCTAACCCTCACCGATCCAACACAATCTCTCCCTCCACTCCTTCACGCCTTGGACGAATATGCCAAAGTCTCAGGTTATCGCCTCAACCTAGATAAGACAGAGGCCCTACCTGTCCAAATCCCAGCTGACGAGCTGTCCCACCTGCAGACCAGCTATCCTTTCCATTTCAACCCATCACATATACACTACCTAGGCGTCAACCTTCCAGCAGATGTCACTCAAACATATCACCTAAATTATACCCCCTTAATACAAAAAGCGCTGGCAGACCTCAAGACATGGGAGACCTACTCGATCTCCTGGCTGGGAAGAGTAGCCTGCATCAAAATGAATCTTCTACCAAGATTCTTGTACTTGAATCAAACGCAACCAGTCCAGGTGTCGATCAAAGATTTCAAAGGCTTACAAACGCAGATCGACCGCTTCATATGGGCAAACAAACGCGCCAGGATTAGGCGAGACATCCTATATCTCCCGACCAGGGCCGGGGGACTAGGTCTACCTCATTTCCTACACTACTTTCATGCGGCCCAACTAGCCCAAATCCAGGCACTACACGCCCCCATAGGACTCAAACGGTGGGTAGATTTAGAACATGACTTATTTGGCAGGGACTTCCCCACCCTATACATATGGCTACCACGGCACGCACGTCCAAAGGCCCCTCAGACCACACCAGCACTCACCACTTCCATAGCCATATGGAATAAACTCTCTTTACAACACGCGCTCACATCGGACCCATCACCCCTGGCACCAATACTAAGAAATGAACAATTTTTACCGGGCATGACCCCGCGTTACTTTGCTCGCTATGAGGATAACAACCTCCACAGAGTATACCGGTTCTACAAGGACCAACGACTGATTCCGTTCACAGAACTGCCCCAAACAGTGCCACTCACCACACGCGACTATTTCCGATACATCCAGATAAAAGACTTCCTAGAGACAACCACCTACAAACGGGCAGGACAAACCCCCCTCACCCCCTTCGAACAAGCTTGTATTCACACTCCTATACGGAAAAGCCAAATCTCCATTACATACACATGGCTACTCAAAGCAACACAAAAACAACCGCTTAACTACGTCACGGCATGGGAAAGGGACCTGGGCCCCCTCACCGACCCCTCAGACTGGGCGACCATCTGGGAGGCCACATCAAAAATAACAATATGTGTCACACACAAGGAACAGGCCTATAAGACCCTCATGCGATGGTACATTACACCACTGAAACTCAAACAGATGGGACTATCCACCTCAGACAGATGCTGGAAAGGCTGCGGCCAACAGGGGACATACTATCACCTTTGGTGGGAATGCCCTCTTATCACACCAATTTGGAGAGACATAGCGACACTTGCATCACGGGTCCTACAT